GACTATCTGTTGTCCGCGACTCCGTCCGCGCGGAATTAAAAACAAAACTTAATGATGAACCTATTTGTTCTTCAAGACTATATTCCACATCTGTGCAAAATTTAATTAAGATCCGTTGAGCCGTTCCAGAGATACCTTCAAACAAATATCCATCCATCTAAACATTCACATTTATAATATTAGTACGATAAGAAGTTAGAAGTAATATGTAGTTACGAAAAGAAGATGATGCGCATTTGTCAAATGTAAGTATTGACAGATGAAGACTCATACATTTCCTTTGAATAAAATGTTTTTGTACAAATATTTCAGCAATGGAAACCCGCACAAATTCAAGGCTGCTGCTAGAATATTTCAATTGAACTGTATGTAACGCTTGATTCATTTTAAAAGAACAATGAATTTTTCACGTATCTGACTAATTCCAACATCAAGGTTACAACCCTAGGAAATTCATACAAAATAAACTTAAATTAGATAAATCGTCGTAATAATTTGATTTATTATTTAGTATTTCTCATATACATTTGGTCTAAGAGAACTTAGAACAGTAATTTGGGGCACGTGACAAGGACATTTTGATACCTGTGATAAAAAACATTTAGTTAAGTTGTATGTCTACGGCTTTATTGATTGCAATTACTTTTCCGCGCGGAATTAATAAAATAAAAAACATAATTTAGTAGTTAGTATCCTATGCGCTATTCGAAAATGATCTAAATCCGTTTGGCCTTTTTGTAATTACCTACTAACAAACATTTATCTAAATTTTCGCATTTAATATTAGTTAGAAAAATATTTTTGCGTTGTACCCTTTTCCTACAGAGAGTCGGGACAGTATTCTTCTATACATCTCTATCAACCGTCATATTTGAACTTACTTCATTTTTCATTACTATTTCATTCACATAATCGATCCTGAGTAACATTTTACGTCTGTTTTCAATACTTTACACTTTAGGTTAAATGTTTGCTTTCAGTTGTACCAATAGATAACTGCCTCTTAAGTCATACGAATATTTGATGAATAAGCCAGTGTATGACTACAGTTCTATTTGATGTGATGTAGGTAAAAGATGGCACACGCTAGATTAGTACGTAAATGTGTATTCATCTTAATATTGTAGTCCCCGAATATGTCAAGGTAACAAGGCTCTTATGATGATGTCAAGGATATAGTTGCCTATACATATTATATTGACTGTTTTCAGTCGCAGCGATCTACAAGAATCGGTAGAGTCATACCATAAAACGAACAAAATACTTTTTTAAGTCAACTTAAAAATTGTAACTATTTTATTTTATGTTGTATTATTATAGGTCTATTAATAGATAAATTTTATGTTTTTTTTTAATGAAAATATGAAAAGTGTTGATCATATTAAAAAATATGGATATGCAACAAAATATTAAAATACACTTAAATGACTGTATAAATCATTGTATAGAATGAGTTTTTCCTACTAGAATATTAAATAACACAATTTGCAAGATGATATTTTTGCGTAATAGTGTAATAATCACCTGAAATAAGAAGGTAAATGTAACGTTTAACTGAAAGAGAATTAATAAGATGTTTACATACCATTGCACGCGTTGCCTTGTGATTGTTCATGGTGATGCATTTCTCAAAGCACCGTGATGCGTGTAAAGGATAGCGCCCTTTCATGTCACAAGCGAGACTAAATTGCCAGAGCGACTGGACGCCTGAAATATTCGAGCTTCGCCCCTCCGTCGCGCCCGTGCCCCGCACGCGTCTATCGTCCGCCCCGCGCTCTCCCCACGCCGGCCCGCATGCGCCGACTGAAAACCGTAAACCCCATACAAGAACCCCGCCGATGAATGACTCTGATGAAATATACAACGGTGTTACGTAGACGAATCATACTACAACCTTGTTCAAATCCAAATCCATAGACAAACAGCAGATTAAATTTGTAAATACCATAATATTTTTGATAATACACTTTTTCTTACATATTATTTGTATGGTGTACGTTTTAATTGAATCTATTTTCCTATAAATATTATTACAAGAAAATTTGTTGCGTTCTAGTAGATAAATGGTAGATTAAGAAATTTGATTTAGTCTATTAGGGTTTGTAAGTATACTAGTAGGTAATTCATTTGTAACCTCATGTAGGCTAAATTATATAACCGATTTTATCGAGTGAGGTGTCAAGTCGTAGCAACCCTAAACTTAATAGGGTAATTATAATTCGGATTATTATAAAGTACCTTGTGAGTTATAATCCGGTTTATTTATTGTTTATTTGTCTTTAAACCATTTCTTGGAGAGGGAAATTAACTGAGTTACCAGAGTCTGTGTAATTCGTAGACATGTGCCCCCTTTTGGTCGACCAAGGTGCAATTTCACATCTGAGCGAGGCTGGGGCGGATAGCTAGTTATGTTTTAAAATATGTGTAGTATATTTAATTAACTAAAATGCTCTTATCAAAAATCATCTTATCAAAGCGAACAAATTAATCTCATAATCAATTTTATGCGAAATAATCGCACGTGACAATCTCTTGAGATGCGGATTGTTTGTTACCAAAGACATTAAACATAAACAAATATATAACTTGTGTTATATTTTAATATCTTTGTTTGAAATGCAAATAAAAGTTGCTTTGATTCCGATAATATATTGTTAGTAAAAATCTACACAAGGCTGTATGTCAGTTTATCAGATATAAAAAAATTCTGAGAAATTTCTGTACACGTAAAACGAAAACTTTCTTCCGCTTTTTAGGGAAAACATTTCTTAGAAATCAGCCTGATCTCACAGAAGTAAAACTAATATAAACTTGTCAAAAAGATAAATTGGTACGGTCAGCAAATAAAAAATGACAAATTAAATATCTTTACAAAACATTATCAGTATAAATCTTTGCAAAGCGTTTGCCTGCTACACGCCAATGTCGTAGTCCTTGCATAGTAGTGTATTAAACGCCTAACAAATATTTTGCTGCGTAGTCTTAAAAGCTTCAAAAGTACAGCACGTGACAAACGAATGGTTCCATTTTTATTATTGGAATAAGCACTTATTAAATATACTCTGCATTGCCAGCACCCTGAGCGGGAGATTTTTGCCGCGCCCTTTTTTTCGGCTTCGGGGGAAATCTTCTAAAGATCAAAGTCCGAGGATTCCAAATTCTGGCGTCTGCGGTGCCTCCTTATACCCGGCGCCCTGGAGGTCGCACCACCTCTCCCTACGCTACGCCGCTACTGATCTGTTGCAGGAATTAGCAGAGAATTAGAATTTTCTAAACGAAATCAGGGCAAATTAAATGCAAGACTTTTCTAACACTTTTGTTTTCAGCGCCATCTATTACTACTAGGGTGACTTTTATTAAACCTACTTGACGCAGAAATGTTTTTTTCTATGAACATGTACAACTATTAAAATATATATTACCAAATATATTTTTAATGTAAATCAGTTCAAAAATCTAAAATTGAAAAAAATAATATGCACTATCGAAAGTATTTTCCGATTTAGTTTTAAATTAGGGTTAACTAGTGGCATCTAGTGACCAATTAAATTACGAGAAAAGTGCGCAGAGAAATGAAAACATTTTATTACAAGAAAAGTGACCAGAGTTGATGTTTTCTCTTAAAAAAATAATTAATTTTCAAAGTCCGCGAAATCAAAATACCTATTAACAATTTTTAAACATGTTTGTGTATATGGTAATCCAGTACCTAAGAAATACACTATTTTGAGTATTTTTTTACTTTACTTTATATCTACTGCTAAATTCAATCATTTTCATTCCTTATTGTGATGATGTTTGTTGTTTATTATAAAAAAATATTATGGGAGTATAAAATATTAAGTTATTATTGCTTATAATTACATAAAAACACAACATTACATCATTGCAGAAAAAAGAGGAAGTTGTTCTTATAGTTTATCTAGTTAGCACTAGGTGGCGCTCGTCCATTACTACTGTATAATTTTTATTATCTTTTTAGGTAGGAGGTATCTTCTAACAATGAAAGTTGCAGATTGCTCAACATTTCTAGTCTAGTAAAAAAAAAGTGTCTAAATTCGTTTATTTTCCCAGCTAAAATACGCACACAAGGGCCCTGTACGCGAACTGTCAAGCGGCGGGTACCGTTAGCTCCAGCTACGTTGAGCGAACGCATTTTGCAGTATAGCAATAGTATCAGCGATATAGTTGAGTTCGTGTACTTGATTTACTTATAACAACATAACTACCTTTATCTTTCTGTCTTTTTCGACAAATCCGAGTTTGTACCTTGTACTTTCCGAAACGGCTGGACCAATTTCGACGGGACTTTTAATCGAAAGTAGCATAGAATGTATGCGGGAGTAAATAGGCTTTTTTTAAGGTGACGAAATCGAAAGAAGCAGCTCTTCTTACTAATATTATAAATGCAAATGTTAGAATGGATGAAATTTTGTTTCAAGTTATCACCAGAACGGCTGCATGGATCTCGCTGCATTTAGGCATAGATGTAGTACATAGCCTAGTAGAACGCATAGGCTACTAATTAAATTTAAATAAGACGGACGAAGTTTCTGGCGAGAGCTAGTATTAAATAAAATAATTAAGAAGATATGACGTCAACATGAGAGATTAATCTTGTTTAGTTAAAGTGCTTAGGTTCACGTAATACGATATCGTGACTCAATGAGCTCCTATAAATGCTAAAAACATTAAGATTCTATAATTTTACAAAACAATTATTCTACAATTTGTTAAACTTGAAAATAGAAGAATCTTACTAATGTTATAAATGCGAATGTATGGACGGACGATTGTTAGAAGGTAACTTCAAAGCAGCTAAACGAATCTCACTGATTTCTCGATTTGACGTAGATGTAAAACTTAGTCGGGAAGACATAGTCTACTAATTATTATTTTTTAAATTCCTGGCACAGAGTAGCTGGCGACAGCTTATGTTAAATATTAGGTTAGGAATAGTAGTTAGAACATTGGTTTATGGTATTTTAAAACAACATTAATGTGTTTTTATTTTTATTTATTAATATAAAATAAAAAGCAACCATTATTACAGCATACACATATTTTTTATCTGTCTCTAGCTCTCTATATGTTGGGGTTTTATATAAATGCCCTTTTAATTCAACATAAGAAAAAAAAATTACCAATGCTATAAAATGGCAAGTGAAAAAATTTGGTGTTCTTTACTAGAATTTGATTTTAAATTTTACAAATATATAACATTCCCCGATTAAAAAAACAATTGTCATGTAACTAAAACTGTAATCAAAATGGCTACATACATTAATTAAATTTAATTTACCATTCTCAGTTAGCCGTAATGTGTAAATATATTTGACAAAATGTATGTAAAATGCTGAGTAATACCTACAATAACCATGGTACTGTTTAACTACTTATATCTAAAATAAATTCCAAATATATACAGAAATATTATATAAGCCATATCAAACAGTTTGTCGCCAATTACATAGGAAATATATAAGCCACTACAATTTAATAAACAAGCTTCATTCTTACAATGTTATAAAACAGATCAAAATAACTCCAATAATAAGAGTTATTTAATTCTAAAATTAAAAAGACAACAAACTAATGACATTTCTAATAATTTTGATATACATATTACAATACAAATAAAATCATCTACTCATTGTTCATAAACCAAGGGTTTACACTGAACATGTACAAAAACATGGATAGTCAAGAGCCCCTTCCTTTTGGAATTCATTTAAAACATATTCTCATTAAGTAAATGGAGAAAAAAAAAATGTTTTTGCAATTGTTTTAACAATGAAAACCCACAGTCAATGTAGAACATTATACATATTGGTGGATAAATATTTTTATATAGTTTAAAGTTTATAGATTGAATGTAATATAATAAACAAATGTAATGCACTAGGAAGACTCATTTGCTTATTCATTTCTAACATGAAATAAATGACATGAGTCATATTAGTACAAGCTTTATCTTTGTTTTACAATCTCATGTTCAAAGAACTGAATTATAACAAATATTGTTTAATATAAATGGGAATGAAAACAAATTTTCCTCTAAATGTTTAGAACTGGTTTACATATACTAAACATAATTAAAATAAGATAAATGATGTTAAAAGATTTGTAGTCTAATTATATTGTGAAACATAAAATATGAGTTGTACTTTGAGTGATAGTGCCTTTACACTAATAAAAAGCTCAAGTAATTTAGCTATGTGCATTACACAATTATGTGCATAACAAAGAAACAGCAAAGAAATCATGTGATTTGTTACCCTTTTACAATTTCACATGTTAATAGTAATGTCTTCAAAGAAAATATTACTTATACAATAATAATATAATCTATTAAAGTAGTTTTATAAAAATGGTGACACTATTATATTGCCAATAAATGAGTTATTAAGTTGGAAGTCTAGCAGGCACAGTTATCCCCATCTCTGTTGCGTGCATTGTCATTAGCATTGAGCTTGATCTGATCTGGGAACTCATTGTACAGCTCTGCTTCAGTTTCCTGAGCCAAGGCATTACGAGCAATAGTCTGGAAGGCTAGTTCTACATTCACGGCTTCTTTGGCACTGGTTTCGAAGTAAGGTAGATCATTTTTGCTCTGACACCACTGCTGCGCACGTTTAGCTGATACTCCACGATTTTCTAAATCGACCTTATTGCCTAAAATGACAAACGGGAAGTTGTCTGGATCACGGGGTGAGGCCTGTATCAAGAATTCATCTCGCCAACTTTCCAAGGACTTGAAGGTATTGGGGGCCGTTACGTCAAACACTAAAACGCAACAATCCGCTCCGCGAAAGAAGGCCATCCCCAACGACTGGAAACGCTCTTGTCCAGCTGTATCCCAAATTTGCATTGTTACAATTCTGTCATCGACGATTACCTCTTTTGTAAGAAAATCTGCCCCTATTGTTGCCTTGTACTGATTGGAAAATTTCTTGTTGACAAACTGATTCATGAGCGAAGTTTTACCAACGCCACTATCGCCAAGGATGATGACCTTCAATAAAACCTTTTTTCTCGATGCCATTATTGCACAAAAATATTATAAAATATGTAAAAATACAATTTTAACTCACTCTTTGTCTGTTCTTTTGACATAAAACGAAATTGATAAATGCGTCACCTGTTACTGATGTCGCCATAACAAATTGTATTTTAATTAAAATAATTTTTACAACTTTTAATAAAAATTAGATTTAAATGTTCAATGCTATAAAATGTATGAAATTAATAAACGGACAGTTCAATACTCAAAGAAAAGCTTTGAAAATATTTTATATGAAGTGAAAATAATTTAACTTCTATCAATATATCAAAAATATGAATCTGTTTAGTTCACAAAGTTTATTATCTGTGCAGTGTCTGCGCTGATTTCCGCAGATTTCCGTGTTTCATGAAATACAGGACAATTACTCCAATAAGTTTTTGTAATATCAGCTTTCCTGAGGAAATTATAGAATGAGACACGATTAAGTGATGTTTTTTTATTAACTGGATAATTATACTTTCTACTAAGACGTGCCAAGTAAATACGGGTGAGGTTTAATGGATTACTTTTTAAAGTAAATGACTATCCGTTAACAAATTTTTGGTTTAGTTTAACTTTAACTTTCTATTAAAGAATGGAGAATAACCTCAGTCGAAGTGGGAGCCGATCGAGTTCTGTATGTGAACTTGAAAAGGATCTTAGCGATATGAAAATAATGAAATCTAGGACGAATCCACGCAATACTGTGGGTTCCGCACGAAAAGCAAAACGAATAAGGTTTTTTCGAAACGGTGACAAATTTTATTCAGGAGTCACGATTCCAGTCTTGCCAGAACGATACAGGTAACTCATTGAAATGTATTCCTTGCTATCAAAAATGGATTCAACTTTCACTTTGATAGTTATTTTATATCTACCTATTGTATACAAATTTGCGACACACAGACTGGAACCCGTTAAACGCTTTGTATTTGATCGAGTTATTACATTTTTTAAGCCTTAGCAATTTGAAGGTGTTACTTTTAACTTGTTTTTGTTTCTGAATAGTTGTTTTGTTTATTATTTAACATAGTTCTATATAATTTTTTTTAATAAATTTATGTGGCAAGGTAGAGATCTCACGGTTTTATCACATATGTGGATTTAGTAGCTCTTTAATTAATTCGAAATTTGAAAAGAAAATATACTCTATAAATTTATTTCATTTTCTTATAAATTTTTCAGATCATTTGATAGTTTGACTGCAGATTTGACTAGGGCATTAGTTGATAATGTTACTTTACCAAGTGGTGTAAGAACAATTTATTCACTTGAAGGTAGAAAAGTAAGTGTTTACTAAATATGATAATTATTTATAACTTTTAACAAAGTAAAATTTAAATAACTGTTCTTTTTATTTCCTTTTCAGATAGGAAAATTAGATGATCTAGAGGATGGACAATCTTATGTGTGCAGTGGTTTTGGTGAACCTTTTAAACGGTTAGATTACGAAGCTAGTGCAGTAACACCGCAATCTTTTAGACTTAGTGGCCCTGAGTCTTTAAATGATAGTGCCAGTCCATCACCTGCAAGAGCTAACAATAGACCGTCCCGTTACTTACTAGTATGTAATTGTTCCTTTAATTTTATTCAATTATTACCAGATTCTTTTAATTTACTAATATTTTTTGTATCATTCCACCTAAGCTCTAGGCTTCTACTAAAATATGGTTTATGCCCACAACCATAGTGTTGGAAATATATAACAATAAGGCAGTGGCTCCATCTACAATTAACGTTAAATACATAACGATAGTCCTCTTTTATCTATAGTTTTATGTTATATCTTATTAGATTTTTAGTTTACTTTATAGTAAAACATAAATTCAATTTACAATTTCTAACACCATTGGGTAATATTCTCGACATAACTTACTTAACCACTGAAGCACCACCTAAACCTAATGCGGCAGATGGTTTGAGATGTTACATTACAAATTGATGATTTTTTTCACCATATTTCATAGTTTAAATACATATTGTATCGTTGCCAACATATAATTTGCGATATTCAGTGTAGCATGAATTTAATTGTTGCAATTATAACTGTGTTCTCAGTCTGTTGCACTTTATGGCATAAAATGAGCTTCAGATTTTGTATTTAGGTTTATCCAATGTTTAATATTGGATAAAGTGACATATTTACATGCATATAGACATGAAAAATGACACAAGTAAATAATGCTCTGAATTAAAAAAAAAACATTTATTTTTACAACACACTAGCTGTCACCCGCAACTCCGTCTGTGTTCAATTTAAAAAAAAACTTAATTAGAAACCTATGCCATTCCTGACTATGTTCTACATCTGTGCCAAATTTCATCAAGATCTGTTGAGCCATTCCAGGTATAAATTCAAACAAACATCCACCCATCTAAATTTATAATATTAGGAAGAGATAGAGATGATTTTGATCTTAACATTTTCAAGTTATCTGTACTTGCTTTGCCTTAAACATAAACAAAATAGATTAGATATAACTTCATAGTTAGTCATATTACGGCAATACCAATTACTCTGCTATAATTTGCTGATGTCAGATGTTGCAATGGCTAGTCATTGATAATAAAGATTAATGACAAACTTACTTTCCTGTGCATCCTACATTCTACGTAAATGTTATTCTTTGATACTTTGTTCTGTTATTGAAACAAACTTGGTTTTAGTTTATAAATATTTTTATTCACTAAAGTTTCCAGACACAAATAGACATGCAAAGATATTATTAAACTAGTGATAAAGTGTTTACATCTGATACATGCTAACACTGGCTTTTTTATTAGGCCTCTACTGGCCAGAATGACATGGTATTTTTGCCTATTTGATATTCGCAATTTTGTCGCTGAAAAACGTCGCATTCTTGTGACACTGAAGTTGCTGTGTTTAGGGAAAATTGCTGGGTGATGATGGAAATTGGGTCTTATGCTATGCATAATAACACTTTTAGGTGATCTGTAATGTACCAATATACTAGATATAAATTGCGAAATTCTCATCAAGGCCAAACTTGTAATATTTGAGCATTATTATTACATTGGATTACTTCCTGTATAAAAATAATTGCTTATGAGATAAAGTAAAAACATGATGTTATTGGCCTGTTCCTTGTAATGAACATATGTTAGAAGAAAATATAAAATTTATTTACTGAAATAATAAGTAAAAATAATATTGTGTTTCAGACAAATGGTAGTAACAATACTACTGGTAATGGGATGGCGCGAGTGAGTCCTGCAGGAGACAATGTGGTCCGACCACGCATAGTCACAATTATAAGGAATGGAGTTAAACCACGGAAGGTATTCAATTTATATTTTTCTTTTTTACATATTAAGTAAAATGTACAAGTATTAACGATATTGAAGTTAATAGGATAAATTGCTCAATGCTATTAAAAAAAAACAAATCTTTGTTTATGACTTATATTCAAATTAAGAACAATCATTTTCTCTAAGACTGACAATTGTTGAATGCAATGCAAATGAAAAATTATATTTACACATAGCACTGGCTGATAATGTCAATTATTATGTATGCATTTATTTTGGAAAGTTTCAGTGTTAATGATACCAACATGTCTGTTTTGAATAAATTTATGACTACAGCCTTATAAAAGTTTAGATAGGTATGTTATGATTTCTCAATTCTAATATATTCGGCTATAGGTATGCAGGTTACTTTTAAACAAGAGGAACAGCCCGACATTGGAGCACGCGCTGGCCGCAATAACAGAATGCATCAAACTGGACACTGGCTGTGTGCGGAAAGTGTTCACACAGTCGGGTACTGCTGTCTCCGCTTTGCATCACTTCTTTGAAGATGAAGATGTCTTCTTTGCCTATGGAAATGAAAGGTTATTTTGTTATGATTGTAACTTATTAAGCTAAATTTCAAGATTTTTTTAACTAACATTTATCTCTTGATAATATTTTTGTTATTTCGTTTTTTTTATTTGAATCTTGAAAGTATCATGTAAATAATTTTTGTCACATGATATTTTATCCTCTGCTATAATCTATAATCTTTTTTTATTGATTTTTCTTTTTCCTTTACTTTTATAGAGTTAATCAGGAAGATTTTGAATTAGAATTTGAAGAAAGCAAAGCTGTCTTACAATGTAGAAAAACCCCAATCTCAAGAAATTCCAGGTAAACAACAATTATTCTACACTAGCAGTTGCTCGCGACTTTGTCCGCGCGATATTGATAAAATGTAGTAATATATCACCGAGGATCGAGGATGCTCTCGGCTCAGCAGTTTGGGATTCAATACATACAATCAGATCTTTCGTCTAAGCTACTAGCTTTTGCCCGTAACTCTAACCGGGTGAAATTTATGAAAAAACTTAATTTGCCTGTGTTTCTTTTATTTAGTTCTCTTATATATTTTCTTTAAGTTAATAAATAAAATAATGTTTCAAAGTTGGCTGGTATAATAATAGATATTATTTGACTTCACAGGTCGGGTCCGAAGCCGCGGATGCCGGTGAAGGCGAGCGGAGCGGCGGCGGCGGCGGCGGCAGGCGCGGGCGGCGCGGAGAGCCGGGACACTGAGCCTGCTGCAGCACAGCTGCTACCTCATCCCCTGTGTCTTAAGTACTCCGTTGGCAAAATTATTGGTGAGCAATGATCAGCACATTATATCACATCCCCGATAAGGCACTCCTCCTTCCCTTAGGAGTGACTAGGCCTTTGTCAACCATGCTGACCCAGTAGCCTATATGGCGAAAATCAATTAGGTACAAAATAACACTGCTCATAGACTGTCTGGTGGAATCGCTGCAGGTGCCTTTACACATCGCTGGGTTTTACATTGCACACTTTTGCAGTATACATTACAGAATTGCGGTATACATGTTACTAACTGACGCGCGCGACTCCGTCCGCGCGAAATTAAAAAAAAAACAATCAGTAGCCTATGTGTTCTTTCAGACTATGTTCTATGCCGAATTTTGTCGAGATCCGTCCAGCCGTTTTAGATACCTTCAAACAAACATCCATCCATCCAAACATTCGCATTTATTATATTAGTAACATTATAATATAAGTAAGAAGAAATTACTAAGATAAACTTTTCATTGAATTGAACTTTGTTCATAGAATGTTTTTTACCCTAAAACCAGAATATTTGGTAAATTACAACTTACACATTTGATGTATTGAATTTGGTAATTTTTAGGTGACGGCAACTTCGCTGTTGTAAGAATATGCAGAGACAAGAATACCGGCAAGGAATATGCACTGAAGATTATTGACAAAGCTAAATGCAAAGGAAAGGAGCATTATGTTGAAGCAGAGGTACGAATTTACTATAATAATGTAATATCAGTCCACTATACATCCCCACTGAGGGGCTCAGAGCCTACCCTGCATTAGGGGTGACTAGGCCATAGTCAAACATGCAGGCCCCGTGTGGGTTGGTTGACTACACACATATTTTAAAATGTTGTAGTTAAACATTAATTGATAACAATTATGAAATCAAATTTAACATAACAAATAATTTAAACTTACGTGAAACTAACCGGTGTTGTCATCGACTACTTTCGGCCCCATCAGGGCCCTTCTTTAGGGTAAAGAAGGGCCCTTATACTGGGAATAATTCGAAGTATTATGTGTTGTTACAAGTTTGTATGTTTACTTTGTGTTATATTTATCTTTAGGTAAGTTTAATTTTATTTTTAAACAGGTTCGAGTAATGAGAAAGCTATGCCATCCACGCATTGTTTCCCTTATAGAGCAACAAGACTGTCCCGAGTGGTTGTTCCTCGTTATGGAACTCGTTGGCGGTATGTTTTTTTCATTATGTATTCAAATCATGTCTTGAATATTTTAATAGTATTAATATATGTAACATCTTATTGATACATTTAATAAAAAAATAGATGTTTTTTTAATTTTATCATTTTTTCGATAAAAATGCCTATTTTAGCAATTTCCCAATCAATACATTTTTACATTATTCATCCTAACATGCAATTTATTAATAAAGTTCACATTTTCATAATCATTCGAACATTATACTTTTCAATAATCAGTTTACGTACACATATATTTAACTAAATAATTATTTTTCTACCTCCTAGTTGCATGTGTGCCTAATGAAGGGATTTTTTTTTTGGAAATCTTAGCAGATTTTTGTTAGTTTACTAATATTTCTTGTACCATCATTCCAAGTAAGCTGTAGGCTTGTGATAGGATATGGTTAGGACAATAGTTGAATGGCGGGATTCGAACCCCTTATCACGTGATAAGAAATCCGTACCCTTAACCATTAGACTATCGGCGCCCTTTGCTCTTTTTTTCTTTTGTACGTGTAATATAGATAAGTATTTAGTTATTTAACATTTGTAGGTGGCGACCTATTTGATAGCATCGCGGCCGTGTGTAAGTTCTCAGAGCCGCAGGCGCGCTTGCTGATAGGTCATCTAACATCCGCCATCGCGTATCTGCATTCTCTGTACATCGTGCATCGCGACATCAAACCTGAAAACTTATTGGTAACATCCATTTATTAACAATCATAATCACGGTTATGGTCATATATTTATAATTAGTTTTTTTTTTCTTACTGATAATGCTAAGGTACGGATCCATAGACATCAATATAATAGAGTAGGGGCCGTACCGAGATCCTTCCCCTTCCTGTACTTCCCCCCCACCACAAACCTAATTTCTCTTCTCATAGTTTTTTATAAGAAAAGAGGAAGGGGAAGAGTACTTATTATAATACCTAGTTTATCTAGACTTGACTGCGTACAAGTTATTTGGTTTGTTATTTTAGATTTATTTCCTATTAGAACGAATTGTATCTAGTGTTTAGCGTGTTAGTGTTGAGGTGAGCGTGACAAGAGAAGTGTATGTTGTGGTGTGCAGGTGGAAGTGGGTGGAGACGGCAGCATACGCGGCCTGAAGCTTGCGGACTTCGGGCTGGCGGTGGAGGTGAACCGGCCGCTGCACGCCGTCTGCGGCACGCCCACATACGTCGCACCAGAGATACTCCTCGAGACCGGCTATGGATTAAAGGTACAAATGTTTTCAGATATCTTGGCGGCTCTTAACTTTGCTTGAGACACGACAACACAATTTAAGTCATAGCGGGGCGCAGAACGTCTATGATCTTGGTCCGCTAACATATTTGAAAAAAAATATATATACATATTACTCATTTACACGTAAATAACTGCTATTTAGGTTAAAATTGTGTTGAACTGTTGTGTACAGATCGACGTGTGGGCGGCGGGCGTGATCCTGTACATCCTGCTGTGCGGCTTCCCGCCGTTCTCGTCTCCGGACGGGGACCAGGAGAAGCTGTTCGACGCGATCCTGTCTGCGCGGCTGGAGTTCCCCGCGCCGCACTGGGAGCGCGTCTCCGCCGGCGCCATCGACCTCGTCGCCAACATGCTGCGCCCCCAGCCCGACCTGCGCTTCGCCGCCGAGGACGTCCTCGACCATGCCTGGATGTCGGTCTGTATCACACACTATTATACTTTCATTGATATATTCTTATGAACAATTTAATAACATTTCACTTTTACAATTCAATTTTTCCAATTGGAGTAAAATCTTTGTGTGATTAAAAAATAATTTTACGTACAATCGGGAAATTTGACGATGTTCCACGTTACAAGGTAGTCGTTTAAACGTTTTACACACATTGAGATAATACCGAACAATAACCAATAGGAGGCAGATTTTAAATGTTTCATCAGAAAGAAAGAAAGTTTCGTCGTTTGAGGAACTGACCGCAACATAATCGATTGTTTGTAATATAATAAAGAAGTTAGTCTAGTTACATGGAACCAGGCAATTTTTCTGTAAGTGGAACACCGCGGATTTCCTCAACAGTACGTGTAGATTGTAACTCGGATCGTATTGTCTGTTATTGTATATATTTTTTTCAGGATGACTACGATGAGAGCTGCGATTTCCGCACATGGTACGATGACGACTCCTCATAGCTGAGCGGGCGCAGTCCCCGGGGCACGATGTCGGAGCCCTAACGCCCCGGGCACCACACTAATGCTAAATATGCCACAGTACAGGCTACTGCCACGACCACAGCTCTGTATGCCTTTAACTCTACACCAATACCAAAGTTATTCTCTAATGTATGTGTTAAAAATATAACAATTATACAGTAGAATTTTGGCCTTTGTTCAGTTTGTCAGACAAATTCAAGTGAAGCTGCAGTTGTGCTTTTTTTTTACTTTCTTCCATTTTATAAGTCATAGTGAATTAACGAAATAGTTTTTACTTAAAAGGTGCATGTCGAAATGTATATGATGGTGGCTGATTTAAGTATTATTTTGATAATCGATTCTTTCTGTTGTAAGACAACGATTATTTCATTTATTTGGAAAGGAAATGTTGAAAACATATTTAATTAAAATACAGATATGACGCGTATGTAAATAATTCAAGACGTGTTCTGAATATTTCAGCGAAATTTAAAATGAATTTTATAGTAGTGTGCAAGCATAAAAATTAATAAAATTATTTAAAAAAAATACAAAAATGAAAAAAAAAACATCAAAAATTTATCATAAATTCTAAGTCGCCTTCTGATAAAAGCCGTAAATTAAGATTTAGTTTAATAGAAACACTAAACGGTTTACAATTTAGTGTGTTAATTTATTTCACAAATTTATTATTATTATAAAGAAACTCACTAAAATTTTGAACTGTAATCAAATTCAATGGAAAAGAGAAATTACCATAAACAATTTTACCTTTATAGGTCTGTAATCACAGACTAATTAAAGTAGACATGTTTGATCATCAATTTAAAAACACTTAAACTATACAAAATCCATAGACAATAAACGATATTGTCAACCAACATATATATTATAAAGAGGAAAGATTGTTGAAACTATTGAACCAATTTAAAAAATATATTTCATAGTTGTAAAGCTAAATTTACTCCCAGTTACGTAGACTATATTTTTGACTAGATTTGTTTTAATATCACGCAGAAGCTACGGGCAACTGCTAGTATATAAAAATAATATCTAATTTCCATTGAATTGTATTATAGATAGATTTATTTTGATCATTATTGTTGCAGGGACTTGAATACATTTTGCAGTGCTAATTGTTAAAAACATGAAATATGTACCAATTTGATAGTCTCTGGAATGTATTTCCTGTACTTTATTACATAGATATAGGGTTAAAGAAATTATATGGTATTTATATAAAAATATTTTATTTTTAAGTTGCTGTAACATATAACATTTATTTAATTATTTTATATTAGAACAGCATATGCTTAATTAGGTTAATCGCAGACAACTTAGTATTGTGATTGTTCGCTTCAATGATTATTGTAACAGTTTTTTTAACATTCCCGTTAAATATTCAAGTGTATCACTGTCTTTATATTTTAGTTAAAACGTAAAATTTCACATATTTAATTCCTTTTTTGTTACTTTTGATATTATCACGTAATTTGCAGTCTCTAAACACATTAACATATCATCCATCAATGAAACAAGCAATTTGTTTGATACGATGAAATGTAAATCTTGAAAAAGATATAACAAAACATTTTCGATAAATCCTTATTTTCGCTTTTTTTTAAGAGTCTTATCAATTTTAATTTCATGATTAATAACGTGAAAATTCGTAATGGCTGTCGTGTTGAATTTGAAGTTTCCCTAATTTAAGCGCTTGATCTAAACAAGGTATTAATTGCCTGTTAATGTAATTTAGATTTGACAATAAATGATCTCGCATATATCATTTTTTTACAAATCCTACGTGATTGGAAATCCAGTGTTTGCTATTGTAAGATGAACTGCCATTTTAACAATGCACTGATGGTACTAAATCGTAATGGTTGCATTAGACCGACTAGGATACCTGACCCGGTGACCATAAGTCAAACTAATTTATGATTGCTCACTAGCGCCCTCCTTTCAACGTAAAAGCGTCACAAAATCCTTATCGAACTGTATAAGATCGACAAGGTTTGACCCGGTGAGCATAATTTAATCTAAATTATGATTAAACTTATATAAAAACGGCTAAACACTCACGTATATTCGTCCGGTGGCGGAACCGACTAGTGAGCGACGGGCCGCGTCCGCAAAATAATACCAGTCACACTCACCCTGAAGAAGGGTCCCCGATGAGCTCGAAACTAGTCGGTGCCGCCACCGGACGAATATACGTCACTCACGTATAGTAGCCGTTTTTATAAGTTTATTATAACGTCTCACGAGACTTTGAATAATTTAAATTATGATTGCTCACTAGCGCCCTCCTTTTAAAGTAAAAGCGTCACAAAATTCTTATCGTACTGTATAGACCGACGAGGATGTGTGACCCGGTGGACATAAGTTAAACTTATTTATGTTTGCTCACTAACGCCCTCTTTTCGAAAGTGTAACAAGATCCTTTTCGTCCTGTAGCTGTTATGTTACGTTTTTCTTTTTTATTATTTTACATATTTTCCGTCAAAAATTATTGCGACAGTAGCGCCTCTCACCGGATCAGAAATCCTTGTTTTGTTATACACCTGGGTGAGTTAAAATTCTCGAATAAAAACATTATGATTGTCATCAAAATTGTTAAATGTGATAAAAATACACTTGTTACAGCTACTTTTGTATTAACATCAGCTTCCCAAACGCTTCGTAAATGTGTGTTTGGGAGTATATACGTACATATTGTGTATAGGATAACATCGAAATTTTATATTGAAATTGATATAATCTGCTGAATTTTAAAATACAAAGAAATTTATACATTGCCTTTTTATCTATTTTTCTTTTAGTATAACACTAAAAAAGATCCAACCAAATGTTTGTTAAAACAATTCGAGATGCAATTTTTACTTTTCTTTTTGTTTTTTTTTTATTATTTAGAGAATGAAATAATCCTCTGTCACCACTTTATGATAAAGTAACATATAATGATGTTTAAGTATACTATATGGGTACATGACAACCCATTATATGCAGTATCCATTGAAGACTTATAGAATGGGTTGAAGTTTTTTTTTTAAATATAAACTGCGAAGGGCTATCTATGTATGATAAAAATTTAGTTATTGTTTATCTACACGCATAGTACGGAACATGTATACACCATTATATTTAGAAATGTTTCTTTGAATTTCACCGCACTTTTTGTATTAGTTATTGAGATTAGTGAAAATATCTATTTGTGTCAATCATTTTATTAATTTGTATGATGCATTTAGTTTATATGATATGTGCATTTGAGCAAATGAAAGCATTAAAACTATGTATAAAATATGTGTTTTATTAAGTTATTTTCTATAAAGTATATAATAATTAAAAAATATATCCACTTAACAAAATCACCTGCATTATGCAGTCACTTCTCGATGTGGTAAGTCTGGAAAAATCTGGAATAAACATTTTTAATATTATAAGCTGTGAACCGAGATAGCAATCATCAGAATTCGCCGAAATAGCGAAGCGACCGCTGCATATAGACCTCTTTGTATATGCGTTGCCCTACTTTTAATCTACGGAGGATGGGATGTTAGTGAAAATCTTTTTAACACTATAAATATGCGTCAAATCTACGCTCATCAGACTACGCGAAATTGCTTCCACTTAAGGCGTGTCTTGTGTGGTCCTGATATTACATTGGGCGAGCAGAGCCATACGTGCAAATGTTTGTTGCATCTATCACTATATATAACAATTTAACAATTACAAGAATAAGATATATTTTGTGTACTCAAGTATCTTACGTGACAGAATTTTATCTTGATGTCATTCATCATTATTTCCTCGCCCTTGTTTCTTGGGTATTTTCTTTTCGTCAACGTCAATTGAAAATATATATTGCATTATTAGGTATATCGCAGCCATGATAATCTGTAGATTAAAAAAAAAATTACATAAGATTTGTTTGTTTTTATACAAGAATTAACTCAATAACTGTGGAGTTATTGAGTAAATTCGTAACAAATTGGAAACTCGGGTTTTATATCATTCGTTGAGTTGCAGCCAATGCCTAGTATCAAATAGTTAATAAAGTAATTAAATTAACTAACCTCAAAAAAATATATATACATATATTGACAAGTTCTTAATTCGTCGACAGTTAATTCTTCCTTTCCAATGTCAGTATCCATAGCTTTATGTGTGTATGCTGAAAACACACAAAGTACTATAGTTTACATACAATTCACATGTTAATCTATAAACACGAACTATGAATTTACCGGTAAAACCGTTCATTTACGTTCATTGCTACTATTGTAGCTACAGTAATTTAACCGGACTGAAAATATATAGTTAGCTATTTTTAAAAATTTAGTTGTTTGTACAAGTATATAGGCACTGTCTAAGAATAATCTTTATATTATAAATAAAAATAAATAATTACCTCGCGCATAACATGTTACCTGAAAGTTTGAAAAATTCATTAATCATAAAAATAATAATGAAAAGTAATACTACTTTAAGATATCTTAGTGGCTATTAACTTCGCGCCAGTTGCTGTGCAGAACACAAATTAAGGTTTTATTTACAAAGGTAACTAATCACTACTCATACAAAATAAAGTAGGAAAGTCAAGGACAGAATAGGGAAGTGCATTTGACGGACCTCCGTCAAATCCATGCATCCAGGGCATGGACTTCGCTTCGGCACTTTCTCCTTTAGGGGAATTACTTGTATTCTCTATGTATCCTCCAAGCATGTCACCTTCTTATAAGAATATACAATCGCATCGTAACTTAAAACTTAAGTTGCATAGTGTCAAGCTATTGTTTCATTAAAACAACGTAAACGTAGTTACGTTGTCTAGTTACACATAATATTAAACACAATTACCATGCCAATAGTATATTCGAAAAAAAATTGTTGAAAAAATTGCTTAAGTGTATTGCCGGTTGACTTTCTTTGCTCACGTAAAAATGTTTCTATAGTATCTGTGGAGCATACGAATGACACAACCTGGAAATTATATTTAATATTAAATTGAGAAGCAATCCCAAAGCGAGAGCAAAGCAAGCAAAGTATACATGTGAATTTACGTCGATGCTACCAAAAAATATATAAAAATCAAACTGTCTGAAATAGTACAATACTTACGTTTACAACGATTGCTATATAAACCATAAGTTTTAAAATTTCGGTCCATACGTCAAAGGAATTGTTTTTTAGAAGCAGAGGTCTTCGGTAGTGAAGTGTACATAATTCTGCATCACGTCTGAAGCAGTAATTTATATACAAAGTTAATTAACTTGAGTTGGCACCTCGTGCAAACCAGATAGATAAAATTCAAAACATAATATTATTCGGCTGCTTATCGCCATTTACCATGTAATTTAAGTTCTTCGAATTAAAGCAGTGTATGAAGGTAAATCCTCTTAATAAACAACAAAACAAAAACTAAACTATTCACTTTTACAATAATCAATTGGTTAATCTTAGGTTTCAACGGTAAATTATTATATTCACCGGAGTTTGTGCCTAAATCCTAACATACATATATTATATACTTTTAAATTAATAAACTGTTCTCACATTTTGTTCACTAGCTCGATAATAGTAAACCCATTAACTTAAGTAATACGTAATAGAATATAAATAATGTTAACCTCATGTCATAGATGTTGAAGACCAATACAATCACTATGGCGGGCGGACAGGCGAAACCAAAGGACATGATCAAAGTTAACTGCATTACTAAAAAACAATTAAAAGGTAATTTACATAAATATTTTTAGACGTTAGCGTAACCAAGACTCCCAAATTCTAATAATTACAGTAGGCACTATAGACAAATGAGCAACCGACCGCAAACAGGACGGGAGACAAAAGGGAGTACAAAAAAAAATACTCTGTCCTACAAAACACCTTTACCAAATCCTTCCTATATTAAGTAATGGCGGGAAGAAGGGGACTAGAATTGGCAATAGGTACACCAAATGTATATTGGAATAATAGTATTACGAATAAAACTATTGATTCACATTTAATTTACCGAGAATTGTCATTTTGCTTGCTAAGATATTTTCATTAAATCGAGGTAAAACGAATTCTCTCTCCCAGCACGGAACGTTTTCGACTATCGCACGCTGGTTATAATCAGTAACACTGAAATTAATATATCAATATAAGAATAGCATCAGTTCTATCAAATTCTAAATTTAAATAAGTAACAATAACCTTCACATTTATTTTACCTTGAGTACAATGACAGTTTTCTCAATATGACATATCTTAAAAGTAGAACAATTAAAAATGCAAATGAAAGCTCAAAGAGGCAAGATGTCATCACACACATATCATCTAATAGATAACGATTATCTTTTTCGTAACCGCGCCACATATCAAAAATTGCCTGTGAAATTCAAAAGTATAAATTACAGATATCTTGTTCACTTAACTTCACGCAAGTGGCCAACGAACCAAAAGACTGATCGGAGTGGCCGAATGTCTATGACTGCTTTCATAACTTTTTTTAACGAATTAAAAAAGGAGATTATCACTTCGACTGCAATTTATTAGGAGAATGGCGTCACTTAATTTTTCATGCGGGATGACATAGTCCCATTTTTAGTGAATAAATAGGAAAAATATTTTTAATGCGATTCTTTTTAAATGTAATAAAGATACATCTTACTAATATTATAAATGCGAATGTTTAGATGGATAGATGGATAAACAACGCAAGCAAACGCTTGAAGGTATTACCAGAACGACTCAACGGATCAGATGAAATTTGGCACAAGTGTGGAACATAGTTTGGAAGAACACAAAAGCTACTTATTAAGTTTTTTTTTGTAATTCCGCGCGGACAGAGTTACGGGCAACAACTAGTATATTTTATAATTACCGAATGAAATCCATAGTACCCAAGCACGATCATAGGTAGAGGCAAACATAGCATATAAAGGTGTTTTGCAAGCGAACGACTGTACGATACGTAGGTTTTATGATTTTCCATTTGAACAATATAACTCGCAACCTTTCTATGAATCTATGAAATAGAAAAGATATCTTTTTATTGCTATAGCGAGATATTTAACTTTAGGTACTATAATACTCTTTAGAAAATAAAACTCTCTCATTAAAAGTGATAACGAGGTAAAATGTTGCGATATTTCATAGGAGTGACAATTTTATAACCACCAAAATAAAATGCAAAATTTGAAATGAACGTATGGAGTAAGTGAAAAATGAAAAAAAAGTTTTCTCCATCCATCCCTTCTTCACTTCCGTTCCTTAAAAGAGAATGTAAAAGGGGATTAAAATTAGCTCTCCGATACCGTTACTTAGACGAAATGTAGAAAACTTACTCATTGCCTATATTCTGTCAGGATGGTATTTGACAAGCAGAACCTGGTCATTCGGCAACAGACATCGTTGTTTGAGGCAGTTACTTTTAGATAACAATAAATACATAGAACTTACGAAATCAACAATGGAGAGAACTATGGAGAAACCAATCATTGTATAAATCAATCTCGGAATAATTTTTTCTGGGCTACGATTCAGCATCAGCATACTTTTGATATAGGCTTTATCTTGCAACTTTCTCAGTCTTAAAAATATAGCAAAAATAAATACAGCCAGTAAAATCTGTTGAAAAGACAAACTTTTTGTTATTACCCAACTGACTGAGGGCTAATGATCTTATGATGAGATCAAAAAATGTAATTTTTTGATTAAAAAATATACTTTTGAAGAGAAACTTGTTTTTACCCAATGTTACGATTATGATTTTTCGTATTCATAAATCTTACTCTTATTATATACAAATGCAAAACTTTACATTATAGTTTCCACTACCGTCCAGGTCGTAAGCCTTAACAAAGCTTTTGATCCGTTCCTTAAATACAACCAAAAATAAAAAACAAAGTACAATATTAACAATAAATATCATACTTACGACAACAATATAACATATTAAGATTTTAATTTTAAAATCTCGATTTTTAGCAATAACAATGCCTGTTTTATTTGATTTTCGCGCTGTCTCTTGATTAAAATCGTATTCAGGTCTGAAAATAAAAAGTAAAATTATTTATACCAAACATAATCTTTACTATATGTGTATATATTTAATTATGGAATCTTTGATTATGGATTAGGCTAAGCCCTATAATGGAAATCGACCTAATTATTGTTAAATTAATCACTAAGAATTCACACAATTCAGATGCCAATTGTAAACAAAAATATAATTTTATATTTTGTTTCCTATTTATAGCCTAACTAGGAATATAGAAAACTTGTTATGACAGCGCTACAAATGTTACAAAAACCTGATATTGTAACATTCCACATCAAAGTCAATACGTCTTATTAAATTCATTATAAAATTTAAATCCAGTATAATTTATTTTATTTTAATTAATCTCAATTAAATTAAAACACTAACACCTCTTTAGAAATCAACAAGGTCAATGTTATGGCAAAGAATATTTATTTTTAATAATGTTGCCTTTACAAGAAATTAATACCATTCGTTTCCCACAACATGCAGTTTTTAATTTTCTGGTCAGGCTAAGTCTTTATATAGATAATAAATACAGGATCTACTATAACTTGGGATCTGGTATGCAACTGCCTATATGTAATTACCGAATTACATCTACATTGGTACCTTATTTGTTTTCTATTGAAGTCTTTATTACGCGTTTCCCATATCCAGTTCAAATATTTTTCTCTTCCAAACCAGTACGCTGTGAAAAACATCCCTACAAACGACAACTTCTTTAACATGTTAATTTACAGTCACCAAATAAGATTTTCGATGTAATTATTGTATTTTGATTCAAAGACATAAAGGAGGCAAGCAGAGGGTACAATATAAGCCGACACCTCATTGACATTATAATCAAAAGTTGTAATAAAGTTGGTATAATGTTCATATAAATATGCAGAATTAAAAAAAAATGTGACATAATATTCCCACACACATCAGCTACCTTCTAGTTAAAGTCCCGTCAAAATGGATCCATTCGTTCCCGGCAGCCGAGATTTTCCAAAAGAAACGCGACTTTGCGGACTGATTAAAATTTTAAAAATTGGATTATCGTTATCAATAGACATGATGTTCCCATTTTTTGTATACATTACATACAGTTTTTTTATATCATAAGGTGGCAAACGAGCGAGCGGCTACCTGACTTTGCTGAATAGCGAAGTGACCGTTGCCCATAGACATACATAATTGCATACGCGTTGCCTACCTTTAATCGACGGAGAAGAGGATGCACAGAATGAAAATGTTTTCCCACTCCATGCATCCTCTCATCCGGAAAGTCCACTTCCACTTCCCATCCTGTCCTTATGAGAAAAAGGGTGTGAAGGGAAAGAGGACTAAATTAGGCCTCCGGGACGCACACTCATGAGACGAAACGCGGAATTGCTTCCACTTCACGCCTGTCTTCTGTGTGGTCGTGGTATTTCACCGGGCGAGGTGGGCCGATTCGTGCGAAGATATTAAAGCGGGCTCTACCACTGGTAAGTGGAATTCAATTAATTGGGTAGATTTATGTACACGTACCCCAGAGAATTATAAATGTCGCGAAGAATGTTGTATACTTATTATCCACTAAGATATTAATCGTATACCAATTACAAAATCTAAAAAGTTTTATCACGTAACACATTACAAAAGTTGGCGTCTTATTAAAGCAACTAAAACATATTATTTGTGGTGCAGTCGGATAACATATCGGTGATCTGAAAAATAAATTGAATCATTTTAAATATACACATCAATAATTCCAATCTTTATCATGGATATAGATATAGGATAAAATGTTTTATTTGTATATATATACATATAATATATTAATATATATATATATATGGTTAGGCACTTTTTAATTAAACACATATTTTAACCCTGTAAACGCCGGTGAAGGATATAATTGACGTCAAAGTGGTCATATGTTACACGACAGATATGTAGATTGATCAAGAACTCATTTCATAAGCCTACGTTCAATAATGTTTTCAATAGCCATCCCAGCTAAAAAAACGCGCCGGGCGTAAACATCACGGTATAAATAGGTTTACGTTTAAGCTAAAATGTATTTGAAACATTTTTTTATAGTAAGGTTCTATGAATCAATAATTGCTAGTTACCATAAACAAAAAGTTACTATTTAGTGCCTTTACTTTAAAATTGATTTTACTTTTTTCAAACAAGTTGTGGAAAATACATTCGAATACAGATTTACCTATTTTTTAAATTCAGTTAAAATAGACACTTATATCACGTTACATCTTGGTGACGGCACAAATAAATATAGACTAAGAACATACCTCAAATTCATGTAGGTTTCATTTAGAAATACAGCTAAGAAGAGTGTCATTAGAGCTGCTATGGACGCAATTGTTAGAAATAGATTGTAAAGTCCATAATATGCGAAGTACAGGGCAACCTGGACAAACATGAAATATGAATACAATATTGGTGATGAATCAAATATCGTCTAAATACTGTTATTCGTAGAATTCTGGGATAAAAAAAGAAGTAATCATACTGTTTCTGTAATAAAAGTAAGGTAAGTCACAATTCGCTTCACACGTCAAACGGAACGAATAGTCTTCAAAGCTGTGTTTCTTAAGTGAGGTTTTAACTAACCTTGGTCTATCAATCCTCGAACATGCCTCAGAACAAGTAATAGGTATTTGTCTTCTGAGTCCTCATTTTTTCAAAATCATTTTCTAATAGCATATTTGCGTTAGAACTTACCTTTGGTCCAAAGTATTCATGCACCACGTTTAATGGCTGTCTGGTAAATATGTTTGTGATACCGACCCAATTATAAAATAGGATCTGAAATTATAAAAATCTCTAAATTAAGCTGAAGTACAAGGTACCTTAGCCATTTATATTTTATCAAAAAACATAATATTATAATGTAAATAAAATTACGAGTATCAGTATGTAATATCAAAAGAAAATTTTCAGGTTTATGACACACGATGTTTTACGTTATTCATAACGAAAAATAATTTTCAATAATTTTGTCTGTCTCTCCGAACGTCTCTTTTTCCCACGAGAAATCACCTAAATAGAGCGATTTTTTTTGTATCATAAGGTGGCAAACGAGCCAGCGGCCACCTGAATTCGCTGATATAGCGAAGTGACCGTTGCCCATAAACATACGCAATTGCATAAGCGTTGCCTACCTTTAATCGACGGAGGAGAGGATGCACAGTAAGAAGATATATTCCCTTTCCATGCATCCTCTCATCCGGAAAGTCCACTTCCACTTCATATCCTTTCCTTATAAGAAAAAGGGTGGGAAGGGAAAGAGGTCTAAATTAGGCCCCGGGACTCACACTCATCAAACGAAAAGCGGAATTGCTTCCACTTCACGCCTGTCTTCTGTGTGGTCGTGGTATTTCACCGGGCGAGCCGGGTCAATTCGTGCGAAGATGTAAAAGCGGGCTCTACCACTGTTAAAATTGAATCAAACAAAAGCCACAGGTGTGGTTAAAAATTATTACAACTTAAAAAAACAAATAATATGGGCGAGACACACTTTAAGATGCATGATGGACTTCACTGATGTCCCATTAAAAACAAAAGAAAAAAGGTTCGAAATTCAAAGAAACCATTTAATTAAATGTCTACCTTTAGTACTGTATAAGATTACCTGACGAGCATTAATACTTGTACTGTCTTGTGGAATGTAATACGGACCGTCATGCAACGCGTATGCATCTATTACTACTTTGCGTTTTATTAACCTAAAAATATATTTTTATTTAAAAAGAAGTCATCACCTATCACTTTTTTTCTACTTTTGATAAAGTGCCATCTTACCTTTCCAGCCCTATATAGTTTTGTCGGTCTCCAAATCGAACGTTCAGCAATGCCATATATACTATGAGGCTTCTGTCCAAGCTTGAATATTGCAATGGTTGTGCGTACTCCTTTCTATGAGATACGAGATATTTTCACAATAATTGATAAATGATTCAGCTGTCCGTACTGTTTTTTCAAGGCATAAGTACCTTGTATGTCTTTATTGTATTCTGTTTACATAAACTTTATACTACGTCTACTCTATATGTAAGGAGAAATACCTTATTAAATTTATCCAATTGTGTTCTTTTCGTGATGTCATTATGTGTTCCGCTCGAGCAATTTCAACGTAATTTACACCAAAAGCATTTCCTAAATTGTTAAGAACATCATTTGGGCAATGCACTTTGAAAAATAATAACTTCTTGTTATTCGGCAACTTAAATAAGCAAAGACGAAGTAACAATCGCAGATATTTACAAGAATGTCTACCAATGGCTATGAGATATAAACTATTAAGAGGAAAAGTTCCTTACCACACCATGTTCAAATTCAATTTCTAATCCCATTTTAACAATGTTGGTGAGAAAACTGTTTTTCATAGGGTCAGCTACGATGTTTTCCTCATCTTTCATCACTAGGATAAGATCTATTTTTCGAACGCCATCTCTGAATGTTCGTGCTGTTTTAGTTTTGGGAGGTAAAGTACTCTCGTTAAAATCTGATGTCGCCCCATCTGCTGCTTCCTATGTGAACAAAGTTATGGCTACAGGTTATGAAGTAAAAGATTTAAATAATTCAGTTCATATAATGGCACTCTAAATGCTCTAAACCATTTACTTAAGATTTACTAACAAGTAACGGCGAAAATCTAAAAATTATCGTGATCTTTTGCATACCACGATTGGATAGGTACGTATTTAAACGATTTAACCATTGGTGTTAAAAATTTATACATATATGAACTATGGTAGAGCCAACGTTAACATCTTTGCACGAATTGGCACGGCTCGACCGGTGAAATGCCACGACCACACAGAAGACAGGCGTCAAGTGGAAGCAATTCCGCGTTTCGTCTGAAGAGTGCGCGTCCCGGAGGCCTAATTTAGTCCTCTTTCCCTTCCCACCCTTTTTCTTATAAGGAAAGGAAGGGAAGGGAAGTGGACGTTGACTTTCCGGATGAGAGGATGCATAAGAAGGGAAAATATTTTCTTTCTGTGCATCCTTTCCTCCGTCGATTAAAGGTAGGCAACGCATATGCAAATGCATATGTCTATGGGTAACGGTCACTTCGCTATTTCAGCGATTTCAGGTGGTCGCTCGCTCGTTTGCCACCTTTTGTTATAAAACAAAAAAAATAACATAATATGTAGAACATTTACGATGGATAATTTGTGTAAATTATTTAAATTAAATTTAAGTTTAATATACACGATTCCAAAGGTTATCTATCTCTGAGTCCCTTGAATTTTTGCCTTTTGTGGCCTACGTAGGCTAAACCGTTTGTGGTGTATGATGTGTGTGAGAATAATGGATCTCAACAAAAGCTACGAATGTCCGCGATGGCATTCTCAAAAACCACTTTTTGCTTTAGAAAAATCAAATAAAATTGTCTAAATATAAAATAACTAAAGATAAGACAAACCTTCGTCATCATTCCTTTTCTGGTTTAACAATATTAAACTATTCATTTAGAAGTATTAAAATGTATACAAAATTCTAAATAGTGTGACGTACACATTCATAATAAATGATATCAGAGAACATAGCACGAAAAATTACTTAAAAGTTTTCGTAATTCCATCAACATTATTGTATCAGATTTGTATCGGGCGTAAAGGTGTGAACGACATTTCTCATAAAAATTATGACGTATTTTTTAGGTGACGTTACGGATACGCATATCGAAACATTCGTGATAGACCCTCTACATGTATATGACAACTGTACTCCATAAATGGCCAGCTACTTTATGCCTTGCCATCAAAGAGGTTTAAGTATAATATATATATAAGAAAGTCGTGTTAGTTACACTATTTATAACTCAAGAACGGCTTTATCGATATGGCTGAAAATTGGTGAGGAGGTAGCTTAGAGCCAGGAGACGGACATAGGATATCATTTATTCATTTTTATATTTTGATTTTTTTGAATTTTTGCCTTGCAGAGTTGCTTTTTATTTAACTTATATACATATTAAATTTTCTTACATATCCACGCGGACGGAGTTGCGGGCGACAGCTAGTATTTAATAAAATCTATAAACCTGTGTAGTCAAAACTTGCCTATACTTTTCTCGCATACATCAGCTACCTTCCATTAAAATTTCCGTCAAAATTTCCAGTCTACCCCTTTAGGAGATCATTGAAATAACATATATTTTTTTTGTTGTACTCAATAACATATATTTTTCAAAATATATATATTTTTTTATATTACATACAGATATTCCGAATCTATTAACTGTATAGATGATGTGGCGCGGTGCATTTGAGGAAATAAAAACATAAAAATTTTGTATAAACATAATTTTATTAGTCACTTTATATAAAATATATAATCATTTAAAAATATAACCACTTAACAAAAAGCCACCTCCATTATCCATAGTCACTTCTGGATGTGTTCGTTCTGGAAGTATCTGGAATGAATAAACATTTTGTACATAAAATAATTTGCATCTGATAGATAAATACAATAACAAATTTTAGTTATATTTATGAGCCTTTATTTTATTTAAGCACAAAATTTTACTAATATTATAAATGCAAATGTTTAGATGGATGGATGGATAAATAGATGTTTATTTGAAGGTATCACCAGTACAGCTGAACAGATCTCAATGAAATTTGTTTTTTAATTGGCATGGACGTGGATAATCACGGGGGACATCTAGTATAATAATAAATTCATTTTATATACCTGATAGTTCCTCATCCAATTGCAAGTAAGTTTCAGAGCTGCAACATTACCCTTTGATTTAAGTGTCATATACAAGTTCTGTAAAGGTTCAGCGACATTATAATATACAACAAATGGTCTTCCTGGTTTTACAAAGCTTGACAATTCATTGAAAATATTTTGTGGGTCTTCTTTACAAGCTATAACTAAAGAATCTGCTTTTTCTGATAATAATTTTGATGCTGTTATATTCAAAAAATGCCATTTAGGCTTTTTTGGTTCATATTCTTCATTATCATTGTCTGATACATTAGATTTATTGCTCTTAACATCAGTATCATCTTCAATTTTAGTTACTTTATTTTTATGACCATTTAAATTTTCTAAAGCTTTTCTTTTTAAATTATGTCCTTCAATACTTTCCTTATTCAATACATCATTAGAGTTAGTGTCACATCCTTGATAGAACTGTCTTAATGCGGAATAAACATTTACAGAAACACATCTATCTAATTGTTCTATGCTAAAGTTCATGCCCATTAATGCTAATTTCTGGGACATATTTCCAGGATGCATGTGAATTAGTTTACCAGTACTTTGTTCTCCAATTGCACTAAGTAGTGCAGCTGCCAACAAACCATTGGAACCAGAATCGTAAAGTATATGGTTACCTTCAGAATTGATATTACTTAATGTTATGATTTGCGACAATGTGTCCATTCTTATACCCTGAATCTTGCTTGGATCCAATTTATATAATATCTCAGTAATCATCCTTAAATTGGGCCTTAAAATTTGTATGTATTCAAAGTACTTTTTTTCTTTTTTCCTTAAGTACTTTTCCTGAGAAAATCCAGTCTTATTATGAAATGTTTTAGAATTTGTAATAAGAGTTTCTACTATATCAGATGCTCTACTAGAGTCACTTCTTAAATCGTTAATTTCTTCAGGTGTTAACTTTTGAGATCGACCATCATCAAAAATGTTTCTATTATCAGTTCCGGATACTTTCACATCAATTTCATTTTTTAGATCTATAGTTTCTTGGCTTAGTTCTAAATCGTATTCTCGATTCTTTTTATTTCTCGGTAACATCCTAAAAACAGAAAAATATTCACAACCATCTATTCCATTAAGGTTTACATTATCACGTCCAATGTTTACACATGAATTTGTCTTGTTAAATTTATGAAGTTTCTTATAATTCTGCTTTTTGATAACAATATAGTCTCCAATACTTATGAAATTGCGCGACATTTTAATTATTTTTTTTTTATATCAGAACAACTTTACAACCAGTTATTAACAACGATAAACTTTATAACCTATAAAATAAAATGCTGCAGTCCGACAAGAACCTTATCATTTGGCAGTTATTTGACATTGATAGAACACAGAAAGAGATTTGAGGGTTACTAAGCAAAGAGTTTATAAAATTACTAAGAATCAAACATTTCCTAATTTTGTTTAAAAAATTCTCACTTAAATTAATTAAATGTAAGCTCTTAACAACATAACTTATATAAGTAATAATATAAATGAATAAAACTACCTCCCATCATTTATGAAAGTTATATTATTCTGGAAAAAAAAATGGCAACATTTAGACTCTGCATCGTCAGATGGCATTGTTGGTTCACATATTTTCCGTAATTGTGTCAAAACAGAAGAACTGTCAAAATGTAAATGAAAGTCAAATCAAACTGATAAACAGTTATTTCAGTTTCGGAATCATCTGATTCTGTAATTTTGATTATTCTTATTCGACTCTCTTGTAAATTTTATGTATTTATTCATATACTAGATTTGATTTACCAAGTTGTAATGTAGTGGTACCGTCTGTTCATAAGAACCGATTTTGTATTACAGTCTTAACATCAATTCGATTAACGTTTCGACTGCTTCTGCGATTGCTTTTGGATAATATTGTAAAAATGATTAAACGTATTTATTCATCGGCTGCTAACATGGTTCCTCGTATTTGCATCGTAGGCTCTGGTCCAGCTGGATTTTATGCGGCGATGCATTTAAGCAAACATCTAACTAATATTAATATAGATATCTTTGAAAAGTTACCGGTTCCGTTTGGATTAGTACGGTATGTATTTATTACTTTTTGCATACATCATGTAATATAGCTTTAATTTCAATTAACAAAAAATGGTGCACTACTCACGTAGAAATAATTTACCAGATAGGAAAAAAGTTATCTAAAAAGATTACAATCAAAGCAGTCCAAGGGACCGCGATAATTTTCTCACTTAGACAATTTTCTCTCAAACCCAAGTCTCTAACTTAGAAGTCATCTGTTGGAACTGGTACATGACTTGCTTATAGAGGTTTCTCTTTTAGGCAGGTTCAACTGTATTCTGTAGTTACCCTAATAATATGCTGTGGAAATAGATTTAGTATATAAGAATAGTTTTTTTTAGGATCACAATAATAATGATTTAAGATCAAAGCTTTTTACATGCTAATTGAAACTATAGCTATTTTATAAAATATAGTATCAAGTGACTTCATAAATAAATCTTGTTTTCGGCTTCAGGTTTGGTGTTGCACCAGATCACCCGGAAGTTAAGAATGTTATAAATCAATTTACAAAAGTAGCAAACAAGCCGAATGTAAATTTTTATGGTAATATTACACTAGGCAAAGATATAAGTTTATTACAACTACGGCAACATTATGATGCTGTTCTTTTGGTAAGTTATTGTTATAATATATAAAATGTGTAACAAGTTTTTCATGACTTTTGTTTGGCCACTAATTTTCCCTAATCAACTAAAGAGTTTTTGAAATAATGCATATAATTTCATCATTTTATATAAAATAATAAGTAAAGTTTTTTACACATAAAAAAGCATATTTCTGAACTTCTTAAAAAATATCTGTTTTGGCTTATTTAAGCTAAACCATTACACTTACATAAAAATAATGTTTGGGATGCTTGTTTGTTTCCAACAATAACTTGCCATATAAAATTATTTCTCATTAGGAATATTTAATTAAGTTCCTTTTATATGCTTGGTTTTTTAACTTAATTATAAATGGAACATTTGAAATAATTTATTATAGACATATGGGGCTGAAGAAGACAAGACCTTGGGAATTGTAAATGAAGATGCACATAATATAGTAGCAGCAAGGAATTTTGTTGGCTGGTACAATGGTCACCCAAGGGACATAGATTTAAAGGTAAATAATCTATACTTACACTATACAGCGGAAAGATTTTGTATTTTTGTATGTAACAAATAAATTCAAAAACTACTGAACCGATTGTCAAAATACCTTTGCCATTAGAAAGCAACATTACAACTGAGTAACAAAGGCTATACTATATATTTTTTTAATTAATGAAATCGAGAGAAAAAGACTAGATTTTTTTAAGTGACAGATTATCTGTATAAAGTTATAAGATGATGATGCAATCCTACTTTCAATGGCTAGAGGAAGATAGGTTCTAAAAGGAGATAATTCCCCTTCTAATATGCACTCTTCCAGTCAAGTCCCATCTTTACCTATAAGAAAATGGGGAAAGGGGAAGGACTTAGGTCTTTTGTGAGTTGTGCTGTTGCACCAGTGCATACAGCCATTTTGACTTCTCCAATCGAACAAGATATATCTCTTATGGAGGTCTCTTAACAGATTCTCTTTTCATCCGATATTGAATAGTTTACATAATACTAATAGAACTGTAGGCTATAAAAATGGCTATTTAAAAAAAAGATTTTCTTTATTGATGCTCTATGTAAATTATGTATATACAAATGCAGTATCAAGGTTGATTTTGTTTGAATTTTTGTTGTCAGAGTCTTTAGAATATTTTTTGTGTAGAGAGAAACTAATGTGTTTTATATGTTAATTTTTATGTATTACATTTACATATTGATCAACGACTCATTCTAAATATTCTACTTATTCTATGACTTATATATTAAATACGAAAAAAAAACATTAAAAGTAAAAATGTCTTATCATCATTTGTTGTCAGCCAGTGTTCTAAAAATGTAGATTAAATTAGAAATGTCATTATTCATTATTTATAGTCGCACTTTGATAAGCGAGAGTCCAAAGGGCTTGCTTATAGAGGTTTCTCTCTTATGTAGTTTGGTTTTAAAAATTGTACAATATTTAAAGTGTCTTTTCTTTATTTCAAGGTAGACTTATCTGTAACAAGGGCTGCAATTCTCGGTCAAGGTAACGTTGCTTTGGATGTTGCAAGAATACTGTTAACTCCTGTAGATATTTTGCGTAAAACGGATATAACTGAACATGCTCTGTCCGCATTAGCAGAGTCTAAAATAAATGAGTTGTACTTAGTCGGTAGAAGAGGTCCATTACAGGTTGCTTTCACAATCAAAGAATTAAGAGAACAATTAAAACTCCCGAATTGTAAAACCGTTTGGAGAGAACAAGACTTTGTTGGTGTGGAAGAAGTGGTTGCAACGCTTAGTCGTCCAAGAAAAAGATTGACAGAACTTATGTTAAAATCATATAATGAATCTAGAAATTGTATGGAAAAAAAGGATAAATATTTTAAGCCTATATTTTTTCGAAGTCCTAATAAATTTTTAACAGATAGTTTAAATAATGTAAATGGTATAGAATTGATATGCAATAAACTTGTAGGTGATAATTTGGAAAATCAAAAATGTGTTGCTACTGACCAAAAAGAATTTATAGATTGTGATTTAGTGTTTAGAAGTATAGGTTATAAAAGTATTAAGGCTGATAAGGATATAGTGTTTGATTCTAATGGATTTGTAGTTAATGATAAAGGACGTGTGATTGAAAATGTACCAAAGGATTTAGCTAGGCTATATGTATCGGGGTGGTTAGGTACAGGACCAGTGGGTGTTATTTTACACACAATGAGCAACGCATTCCTTGTAGCTAAATCGATATGTGAAGATTTTAAAGATTTAAATGATCCACCTAAGGGTGGATTCGAAGAGGTAAAGAATATATTGTCAAATCATCAAATAGTAGATTGGAAAGCATGGGAAAAAATTGACAAGTACGAAATTGAGCAGGGTAAAAAGCTTGGTAAGCCACGAGAGAAAGTGTGTAGTATTAAAAAGATGTTAGAAATAGCATCATGACATATTTAATTGTGGCATCAAACACGGTTACACATGACATGTTTTTTTTTTAAATATTATATTTATACCTAAAATACGGTGTTTTCTGGAAACAAGACATAGTCCCGACTATTTGCACAAACCATTACGACAGCTTGTTCTAGTTCATAAAGTTAATTTATTGAATTAATTTATTAAAGTTCCCATATTAAATCTACACTAAGGATACCACTTAACAACTCTGCGTGCGGTAGCTAGTGAGATAATGTTTTTGTAACTCGTAATCATTAAAAAAAACTTTTTAAAATTGTCTATATGAATCTATTATATAGTATATTGTAAAAATACATGTATGTCTTTGTTACTTAATGTAGTTTTTATTATTTAACTAGCTGTCGTCCGCGTGGATATAAAAAAAAACTTAATTAGTGTAGCCCACCCATCCATCCATCCACATCACATACATCTAAACATTTATTTATAATGTTAGTAAGTTAAATAAAAAGCAGCTCTTCAAGGCATAAATTAGAAAAAAAATGATTAATAGTATCCTATGTCAGTCTCCTGGCTCTAAGTTACCTCCACACCAATTTTATGCCATATCGGTAAAGCCGTTCTTGAGTTGTATGTAAATAGTGTAACTAACACGACTTTATTTTATATATACAGATATTTTTTTAAACCTAAATGTAAGAAATTAAGTTTGTTCCTATATTTGAAAGAAAGGTTTAGTCTGTTTTGTATCTTTTTAGAGTTATTTTATCTGTTTACCTTATTACTTACTACCTATGAAGTAAATGTATTCAGTAATCAAGCACACCGACTCTTACATATTTCTATCTGTTCTGTAGTGTATTAATTCCAATACGTTATGTGTTATATTTTTTGTTAAAATAATCTATTTTATTGACTTTTTATTAATAAATTTTAATAAACTGGTTGAGGATATCAATGTCTTTTTTTTTTAAATTATAATCCTATTGCTAATAAGTTAAGCCCGTTCTTAGAATATTGTGATGTTCGTTTTTTGGCTTTGAATTACGCAGACAGTTGGGCCTAACTATAGCTTGACATTTTTAAACAATAATTAATCTGCTTAATAATAATTTTAAAAATATTTAATTAGTAATTAATTAGTAGTCTGTGTGTTTTTCCAGGCTATGTTCTACATTTATGCCAAATTTCAGCAAGATCCCTTCTGGAGACACCTTTTAACAAACATCCAACCATCCTTCCAAACATTTCCATTTATAATATTAGTAAGATAGAGATTATATTTACGGAATAGATGAGCCCAAGTGAACCTTTTTTGTACAATACAAGGGACTTTGGGTAGAGAAAAAAAACAAAGAAAATGTTATTTGAAACGTGTCAAAAATAATACAATTCTATTAATTCAAATGTTTACTGTCTATACGTTGTTGAATTATATTTATAAATGTTTTAATTTTATACATATTGTATTTTAGATTTCTTCTAAAGTGCTTAATAGTAATCGTAACAATGTCTATAAAGGTATGTTTTCTATGTCATATAAAATCTTAATAGCGTTATGTGACACGAGCGGTTGTTGGAAAAAATAAAATGGCCGCGTAATTCATAAACCACAAAATGAGATTATAATTATTATAAAGCTTTAAAAGCTCTACTTAAAGGCTTACTTTGTAGAAAAAGTTTACTAATTTATCATCCATATATCTACACATATCGTATATATGCATTTTCTCATATGTATTTAATACTTTTAAATAATATTTTTATTCAATCGATATAATAAATTTTTCTGATGCAAAAAACTTAATATCGAATCAGCTTTCACAATTCTTGTTACATTATCCTCTTTCTAGTCACTATTTTACATTGCTATCTACCTATCAATCAAAAAAATAATTTATTTTTGGTCCACATGTAGTGAGACAGGTCAAATTCATACTTGGATAGACCCCCTCAACCTACTCAAGTTAGAGGGCGACTAGATCATAGGGTTGGTTGACTTCCCACATACCTTTAAATTTCTTCCCAGATATATGCACTTTGCATCACGGTGTTTTCTATCACCGTAGGAATTTCGGATATATGTACATACGAAATTAGAAAAATATATTGGTACGATCAAACCTGGTGTATAATTCGATCCGATCCGGTCAAGCAAATTGATAAACCTCACAAATAAATAAAAAAAAAAATAATGTAGCTTTAATTTGCTAGACTTGTTTTGAAAAATAAAAGGGATATTTATTAACTTTGCAGAGGCAATATGTGCCATCTTTCACTGGATACTTCAGAGACGGCACCAAACGCATTGACCTTGTATTGGTTATTAATGATGACGGGGACGGTAAGGTCGAAATGTTGAGAGTTAATTTTTTATCCAATGTTGTAAAGACCGGTCTTGAAATTGAATTGGAACAAGGAGTGGTAAGGATTCGATACAAATTACGAATTTATTTCATTACTAGCTGTCGCCAGCGACTCTGTCCGCGGGGAATTAAGATATCCTTATAAGTAGCCTATCTACATCTATGTCAAATTTCAGCGAGATCCATTCCATCCAGAGAAATTTCAACCACATTACTACATAATAACAGGGTGGTATCGTCGTTGAGCGCTTGTTTATACGTTTGTCATTATACTTTTACAATGAGTATTCATGCTTCTTATCATTGTTTTTAATTTTAGAGGGCGAAAAATAAAAACCTACTTTTCGTAAAAATACACGCACCTCCCCACGTTATTATCCAATATGGAGAGTTTTTTAATATACGGAGGTTTTTCAAAGATAATCATGCCGATTTTATAAATCCTAGTAGATGGTATTTTGATATGTTGCCTATTGGTACAAGCAAGCGACGAGAGAGAGAGTTGGTGAAATTCGTAAGGTTGATAATTTTTTTTAAAAACTACGTATTTTTTTATTTATTTACAAATAAACTATACAGAACAAAAAGTACGTGAGTGTATAATGTATAATATTATAAAATCTGGATAAATTTCAGAAAACAAAACCAGGGACCTCTGAATTATTCGACCCTCGAGCGGAGTACTATTGTTTATAAAATTCTTCTCATGCTGCCATTTGGCCTTTACGAAAACTACGTAGGGTTAAATAGGTACGCATTAAAATGGAATTTATTTTAAAAAAAGTATCTAGCAGTAGACATGGCGCCGCTTTATCTTTTGACCCTAGTACTTAAAAATTGATACGATTTTAAAAGTAAGTAATTTCTTATTTGCGTTTTACTCGTATTATAATTGTATATTGCAGATTACTTAACCATCGTATCATACTCGATGTGTTTCCATTGCACGACGGGCCTTACTTTTTTGTTCCAAATCAAGATCCAACTAGAATCAATGGACGTCAGGTAGGTGAGGTTAAAGTAATATAAAAGAAGATGAAATAATTTTAATCAAATTTAGGTAAGTCGTAACAAAGCCTTCAGCAGCCTACATCACCATTGAGCGTGTTAATAATTTGGATATAGTCGTTAGCTCATATACGTTTTTTTTAGTCGTATAATTTCAGATGAACGTTATTAAGGCTGCGTCAACATTTGGCGCATGCGCAGCGGCTCATTAGCTGTTCATTCACCGGATTTGGACGCACCCTAAGTATTGAATAATTTCAGGTCCTCTCTCGTACGTGGTTGGACATTGGCAAACTTTTAATATGTAGACAACCTTATAGCCTTATTCACGATTATATGGGGGAAAGAGTTAGTTAATTATAATTTGTATGATATATAATACTTTAAAACTTTTAATCTTGGCAGTTTTTTTTTCAAAATTATATTTAATTTTATAACCCACTGTTTTTATTTCAGGTGGCATTTTATTTCGCTTTCTTAGATTACTACATAAAGGCATTATTTCTCGCTTCTATACTGAGCATTGTGTTCTACTCATCGGCTTATAATTCAAAAGATACCTATAATGTAAAGTAAGTAACGTTAAGTTACGTAAATGCACGCGAAAGTGCGATGACAGGACTTTCCGTTGGCTTAATTGATATATTTTGCGGTTCTCGACCTGACAAATACAGCTTTTGATCCATGATCTATTTTGACCCATGTGATATCCGTATAATATATCGGTTCCACTTTTAGATCGTTTACGTGCAAATCTGAAGAATCGGTGTGTGGTGCTTGCGCTACACATACTTGGTGTCCTACAAGGACACTAAAAGATTATTGTTATAAGGCTCGGATTGTACATGTAACTGACAGTATTCCTAACGCCTATCTTTGTTTGTTGATTGGTCTTGGAAGTAAGTTGTATTGGAGTAAGATATCATGAGATTAACATTAATCTCATCAAAATCAAAAACGCTTTACCTTACCTTAAAGTTCCATTCGCAATCCTCATTTATTTATGTATTTATTATGTAAAACATGCTATTTATTATTATCTAATAGTTATACCTCATAAATCATCGAAATTCAGAGGACCTAGCACGAATTTTGTCCATAACGTTACGAAACGAACGAAAGAGTCACCCGCGTGAACAGCTAATGCCACTGTAAATCATAATATAATTCTATACTTATATATATAAACTGAAGAGGAAAGATTTGATTGTTTGTTTGCGTTGGATAGGCTCTGAAACTACTAAACCGATTTGTAAAATTCTTTTCCTGTTGGGGAAGTTTTACTATCCCAGGGCTATAGGCTGTAGGTTATATTTTTTAATTTTCTTTAAGTTTTATTTTTAATTTCGCACGGACGTAGTCGAGGATGGTAACTTCTAGTAATATATAAGATTTTTACTTGTATGTAATTTTGCAGGCACTTTATTTGTTCCATTATGGGAACGCAGGACATGTTACCTAAATTGGCTTTGGGAAATTAATCAATCTTATGCTAAAAGAGCTGTAAGGTAAATTGTAACGTAACGTAATTGTAACATTCTTCTTTACTATAAATTATACAACTGATTAGTTATTTTTTTCGTAATCATATGCCTGTTTGAATATTTTTAACGAAACTAGATTTAACCGGTATCTTCATACGATGTTAATCATTATTACCGTCGAGGAGTAAACTAACCAGCAACTAATTCGGAACTCAGCGACTCCCAAATTTTTTGTGTTTAGTGCCGTGCTTAAAATATTGTGTCCCTGCTATAAGTGATACGATTAAAGCGAATTATGATGATACATTACAGGCCAGAATATATAATTCCTGACAACTTACCATGGAGGAGAAATTACGTTAGACAAATTTTGTTAACAATTTACAATATGATTATCTACGCGACATATGTAAGTTTTGTAAAAAACGTATGTATTTTTATAGGTTAGGTTATTAGGTCAGTCGTATATTTGTAAGAATAAGTTTCGCCCGTGTGAAGATGTGATCCGTCGCTATTATTTTTATAAAAAGCAATAATTTTTAGATCTACTCGGATCGACCGGCTCGCCCGGTGCAATACCACGACCACACAGAAGATATTCGTAAAGTAGGAAGCAATTCCACGTTAAGTTTGATGATTAGTGTATGAGGCTTAATTTTAATCCTATTTTCCTTACCATTCTTTTCTTATAAGGATAAGAAGTGCGTATAATGTTCACTTCACACCTTCACTATTATCAGTTATAACTAAAAGTGTGTAGCTGACTTTAAGAAAACTGTTAGTATGTGGCTTTATATAATTGTGATTTAAGAATTTCTCTGAACTTTATTTACAGAGTGCTGTAATAGTTGCTTTAATGCTTTTGGTGATGTATTACAAACATGCCATTTTCTATAACACAGTTGGTACAAAACCGTATAAAAACTTTTACTACGTATTAGCTGTTATAGCGGCTTTTAATGTTGTTTTTGCTGTAATCATGCAGTTTGTAAGTATATTTACTTTCTTAAATTTTATTGCGGGCAAATAAACCTATTATAATTCCATTGCACACATTAGAAAGTGATGTAATGAAGATGGCGATTGAAGCGCTCCCAGAGCTGTTTTTTTTTGTATTTGAAGTAGGATTAACAGTGGTAGAGCCCGCTTTAACATCTTCGCACGAATCGGCCCGTCTCGCCCGGTGAAATACCACGTCCACACAGAAGACAGGCGTCAAGTGGAAGAAATTCCGCGTACAGTCTGATGAGTGTGCGTCCCGGAGGCCAAAATTAGTCCTCTTTCCCTTCCCGTCATATTTCTTATAAGGAAAGGATGGGAAGTGAAAGAGGACTTTCCGGATGAGAGGATGCATGGACCCTTTCCATGCATCCTCTCATCTTTTATCTCATCAGAGTATTTTCTTTCTGTGCATCTTCTCCTCCGTCGATTGAGGGTGGGCAACGCATACGCAATTGCGTATGTCTGTGGGCAACGGTCACTTCGCTATTTCAGCGATTTCAGGTGGCCGCTCGCTCGTTTGCCACCTTTTGATATATAAAAAAAAGGAAATATCCAATTGTTAAAAGGATAATTGTTGCACATTAATAATTTTTCAGGTAAACAGAAAGTTATCACACGTGCTTACGAATGTGGAAAACCACAGAACTTATGCCGCATACGAAAGTTCCTATATATGGAAACTCATTATATTTAACGGCCTTTGCTATACATTCCTGATTCTTTTCTCTGCCTATTTCGTTGTAAGTATATATATACAGGATAGTATATGTACAGGATGTTTTTTGTGTCTTGGCAAACGTTATATTGTCAGTATATTTTAAGCCCGATAAGGTTATGTTATGCTCGAGTGGCGTTCAAATTGTGTCGATGTCGATACGAATATTTTCTCGTAAATTCTCGTGCTAGGCCCCCTGATTATAGCTAGGACTATTTGCTTATGGTCCATAGCTCTGACACAAAATACAACATCTAAACTGACCTAACCTTATAAATACTTGGATGTAACAGGAAGCAATTACTTTTTTGCGATTGTAAATACGATTATTTTAACCGATTTTTTACAGCCAATTTTTGTTACAGGTTTTTGGACACTGGTTTCAAACTTCAGGTAAAAGAACATTGTTAGATGATATTAAATACATGAACTGCGGCGCCTACGGATGCGGGGACGAACTGACTGTCATGGTTGTTGTGATTGTCTTCGTAAAAGAAATTTTGGGTAAATTGCCTTGGCAGGTGATTCCGTAAGTTGAGTGTTATCTTTTACAAATAATTATGACTATGAAGCAGTTATCGGAGCCAATGGGCATAGACAACTGCTCAAAGACAAAATACCGTACCGGCGAACAAATTCATTTAGTCCCATAAGGAAATATGTAAAACCCTCTTAGCGCTCAAGTACACAATCACTTTTTTAACGTCGCGTTACAACTCTGCGTCGAACTACGTCTTCCGTTCGCTCACTGCTACACATATGTACAACACTTTGTGTTGGCGACGCGATTTGAAAACGCTGGCCGTATGAATATATTATACTTAGAAAAGCATTTGTGCTATATGCGATAAAATGCGTCAATATCGTGTGGTATCTATATGTAAATATCAATTGCTGTTCGTTAGTCTCGTTAAAACTCGAGAATGGCTGAACGGATTTATCTTGTCTTGGTGTTGAAATATTCGTGGAGGTCTAGGGAAGGTTTAAAAGATGCTAAAAATTCGAATAGTTGCCGGGGATACCCTAAAAACAGCCCTTTTCTCTTTCTGGAAGAACACATAGTCTATTAATTATGTTTTTTTTACTTCCACACGGATAGAGTCGCAGGTGACGAGCTAGTTATAAAATAAAAATAAACGACTTACACATAGGCAATTTATCCGGTGTTGACACCGAACAGATGAGTGGGACTGGTATTATTTCGCGGTCGCGGTCCGACTCACTGAGTTATATTTAGTTTATAAAAAAACGATTTGCTATAAAATTGTCCCTCAAAAATACCTTATTAAGTAACCTTATTTTATTTTTTGATACCAGAAAACTATTTTCTATTACAGGATACAAACTGACTACAAAGTAGCCAAAAACGGCTCTAGAGTTCCTGTTTGGGAAAGGGAATATGAATTGTGTAAAATCAATGAAACCTTCTTAGACAAGCTGTACTTAAACTTAAGTAAGTATTAAATTGCAATGTAATTGTTTTATGGAATTATTAATTACCAAGTTTTAGTTATCCGACAGTTATAAATGTATAATTTTGTTATTTAGTGTTACAGATAATTTTGGGATTATTCTTCTTACAAGCGTTTCCCTTGAGTCCGGTGCTATTATTGTTCTCGAATTTATGGGACATTTGGTATGATTTTTATTTTACCAGATAGAAAATATTTTAAACTGTTTTATTTTCATTCTCTATTTATTTTGGTCATGTTTAGTAGTTGAAAGTAAATCCACTTACCGTATATACATTGATGTGAAAATTGGTACACATTCTGATGACAATGCAATAATATTAATCAAAATATGATGATTATTGAACAAGTATATTTCTTATGTTCATTTAATGTTGTAGTTATAGCACACACCATTTAATAGGTCACGTTTGACATATTACAGTCTGGCATAGTGAGGCGACCTGCTTCAAAACATCGACTAAAATGAATGAATCGATTCGTACATCAAATAAATAATGTGAATCGAATTCAGTTGTTTTTAAATGTCTATGTTTTTGTTCGATTTTTTTGTAACATTCTTAATATTTAAAAAGAAAAAGAGTTCACTGACAATATTGTAACGATGTTCGATTGTCACGATTACATTAAATATGCATCCAAAGTTTGAAAAGGGGTAAGCATTTGTGTAGTTCTAACTTCAAAAACTTATTTAACATTTTATTCCCGCCTTTAAAAGGTTACGTTGTTAGATTTTGATGAAGTGTTGAATGTCACCTATTGAAAATACCTGTTAGAGTAGTTAATGTATTGTAATATTATTTTGGAGATAGGAATAAAGGTTCGATCTATGGTATTATGACAGTTACCGCGCTCACCATATGGTGAAGGGCTGTCGGAGGCCGTTGGTGCGCAATAGCACGGGAATTGGCGCCTGGCAGCAAATCATCATTGCAGTTGGATACGCTGTGCCGCTCTTTAACGTAATATATATTTTCAATACAATGTACCTCTGGTTATTGTACAGTGTTATATACTTTATAAGATATAACTTAGGTTATCTCGCACATGTCAACTCTACAGATTCCATCGCCGTCTGTAAGCAAGCTCGCCCCCACTTCACCCTCTCTTTGGCCCTTCGTCGTCCCCTCGCTGATTAAGCGCGATAAAGATCATTTGATTTTATATTATTTTTTTTATTATCTCATATATTTTTTGTTGTATTTAAAAAAAAATACCGTGTATATCTATGTAGGTATCACAACAGTTTTTAATCTTTAGCAAAATAATATAATAATATAAGTAGTTAGATTTTATTAATGATTCTTTGTAATTTTTTTCTGGCAGATTTTTTGCGTGGCATTTAGCTCTCAATTGGTTGAGAGAAAAATGTTTGATATCATCAAATCAAAGAATTTCTCCCTTCAATTTAAGTATTATAAAAGTGCTTACCCAACTTATTTCACATTTGTCACGTCAAAGGTCAGTAACAAATCCTCTCACCGCCAATTCTATTTTCCCTTACTTTATTAGAAGACCGCTCTAAGACAGCGTTTAGTTAGTTGTTTCAACCCTTTGATTATTATAAAAGAGTTAGTCACTCTTAAATATGCATCACAAAAAAAGCTTTCAGTAAAATTACTTTGCTATTTACTTATTAAGCCTCATTTCGAAAGCCTAAATATAATCATATTTCAATAATTATGGTTTCTGGTAATGTCTTGAAACACTGTTCATGTTTTATATGATTATGCCCATAGTGTTGTTTTTTATATAAAATATTTTGTTTGTTTTCAGCCTGGTGCCTGTAAGTTCCCAAGTGAGTTTGATTAAATAATTTATGAAATGTTACTTATTTTGCACATAAAGGAACGCGTCCATTGGGCCCCGCTGAACGCACCGCATGTATGTACGGCCCACAACGCATCAAAACAAAAACCGTATAATTCGTGCGTACGGTGCGTTCGACGCGGGCTTTTATGAACACATGGCCTTAAAATAATAACGTATCAGACAACAGATGATGCTGAGTGTCGATCACAAATTGGTGCTCATGGTTTATTCTAAAAAGTCTGACGATTCTGCCAATAGGCATAGTTGTTCACGCAACAGTAGATAGTCAACTTTAATAAGAGATCAAAGTAGTTTTAGTTTTAAAATAGGTGTAATTGTAACACCAATTTCCTGCTTTTTTAACAATTTTCTTCTTAATTCTTTATGTTGCGGTGTGTGTCTTCCTTCGATAGTTTTGATACAAATGAGGGCAAAATTCTCTATATCTCATCATTACATTTTTTGTTTCAGTAATGTACGATAGTGACATTGGGGTAAATCGCTATTGGCAGCCCAAGAGGTACAAATGGTGGGGAATATTAGTTGCCATGGTAAGAATATTTTATAGTACCAGCTGTATTCCGCGACATTTAAAAAAATAGTAGTAGTAGGTGTTCTTTCAGACTACGTTCTTCATCTATGCCAAATTTAAATTTTCAAATTGCTATGTGTATTTTTTTCTTCCCAGAATGCGGCCATTATCTTTGCTTTACTTGTACGATGGTTGATAACTCGTTGTCCGAAAGACATTAAAGAAACAGTGAGAACCGAAAAGTACATAACGTATAGATATTATCTGGCTAAAGGTGTTACGAAATAGAACATATTTAATCCGTTGTTTTTTTAATTTATAAAAAAACCTGTTAACTTTTATTTGAAATATATTAATTTTATACAATTTTATTGTTTTAATTCAATCAAGTTACTAAGGTTAATGATTTTGGGACTGTATGGACAGACTGATGGCGTAGAGCCATACTCGCAACGCAATCATCGAACTGGCATCTGATTAAGGCTGAAATTTATAAACGTTGCTCTGACTTTGCTTAGACTTACCTGACGCTTAACTTACACCAATCTTATCTCAGCTTTTGCTCAGACTTATCTCAAAATCGAGTTTATAGTCGTCATGGGTTAAGCATGTGCTAAGCCAAATTTGGACAGTATTTCTATTCACAAAAAATATTTTAGGTGATTCAAAAATAAATATTGATATTTTCAAAAATAATATTTATTATACATGATTCCTATATCTTTAAACTTATTCCTTTACTATCTATTTTATGAGAAAAACGACGAAATTGACCCTTGTTTGGGTTGGTAATCATGGTGATTATGGTAGAACGGAACAAGATTATTTGACTTGACATAGTAAATGTCAAACCTTTAACTTATTTCAATTCTCTATATTCAAAATAAAAAAGACAAGGCTGTATGGCTTAGTTCCTTTGCCTGCTCTTTCGAGTGAATAATAAAAACAACAACATTTAACTTATTTCATTTTGTTATTGTTGATTTACGTGATATTCGTTACAAATTATGTGATTTTTTCGTTGACGTTTCTCTGATATACGACGCATTTCTTCTGAATTTTGTCTTATCTACCTGAACATTCGAAGATTTTATCGTTTTACGTTGACCCTGGCATAATCTTACGGACTCTCGATACTTCATTGTACATTTGGTTTTGGCTTACGAACTAACAAGGATTTTCTGATTGATAAAAATAAATGGATAGATTGGATTTCGTCAACAACAGATAAGAGAAATATTAGAACATCGGCTCGGTGGGTAAATATGATGATCAAAGATATCAAACATTATATACTGAAGAAGACACGTATGTGAATTGTGTTTAACGCTCATCAACTCGGTACTAATGTATAATTCTTGTTAATAAAAATATTTCTTATTAAATATTCGAAATATGATTTTTATTTTTTTCTTTTATCGCTACAATCCGTGTCCGTAAGCAAAATCGAAGTCCAAGGGAAGTATAAAATATTTGGAAACGGAGTTGTCATCAGGTGGATCACAACAATATTGACAAATCCATATTGACATAATGAAAAATAAATATTTGTAAACTCGTTTAATATCATTAGGTAAGATTTTCGTAAGTTTTCGGTAAGTCAACGATTTTGGTGACTTAGCTCGTGCTTAGCAAATGCTCAACATATGTCTATGAATATCAAACTCGTAAGATAAGTCAAAGCAAAGTCAGGGCGACGTTTATAAATTTCACCCTAAGTCTTGTGTGCCTATAGTATAAGATTTGAGTAACTAGGATATAAAATAAAGAAAAAATATTATTTAGCATTTTTATTTTATTCACTAAGTAATACCCTGTAAAGTTTTGGCTTCACTCTGTTGTTGTGTTACTTTTTTTGGAATCTCCAGTTCTTCGACATCAGTTGAGAATATGTACTGCATCAGCTTAAATATTGCAGTCATTATAATCTGAAAAATGTAAATTTTTATTTAAAAAAAATTAATATTGTCTTTTCCTGATTTAATATAAATAAAAAGTTATGATGGGGTCTTTTCGAGATAATTGAAGAAACGTAAAAATATTCATAAACTTTGAAGCACTATTGCGTCCAAACACAAACTACGATGTGAAATGGCTTGAATCTTTATATTTTTAACCAAGGAATCTGTGGTATTTAGTTCCGTAAAAAACCATGCATAGGTAGTGGCGGTTCTTAGAAATCGTTGCCACTTTAAGTAACCCTTGTATCAAAGGTTAGTTACCGACAAGAATGTTTTATGTATAATATATTAAAAGTTAACAAATTAGCAAGCGTCCACCTGAATTCACTGAAATAGCGAAGCGACCGCTGTCTATAGACAACCGCAATTGCTGATGCATTGTATACTTTTAATCGACGGAGAAGAGGACGCACAGTAAGATACTATTTCTCCTTCCTATATGTCACCTCCTCCGTCGAATCATCAACCCTTTCCTATTCTTTCTTCATAAGAAAAAGGTAGGAAGGGAAAGAGAACTAAAATTAGGCCGCCAACGACACACTCATTACTCATTACGAAACGTGGAATCACTGCTGTTGTTTGTGGTCGTAGTAATGTAACGTGCGTTCCGGCCCATTCTAGTTGCTTTTGTCGTTTTCTGTAGACGCGATCGATTTTATGCTGAAGTAGGAAGAGGAAACAGCGTCCTGCATTATGCAAATATAGGATTTAGTATGTCGGTTCGCTGAGATTGCTCGTAGAGATCGCTAGTAATATAAATGGGTTGCTATTGCTGGGAGTCGGTACATGATGACCACGACCAGTCTGAAAAGACTGTAACGACGAAGAAAAATAATTGCTGGGATTCTGCGGCGAGATAGGTTGGTTTTAAATGATGGTATTCATATTTTATGCACTAATCGTGGTGTTGTGGAAACCAATGTTAGTACTAATTCTACTTCTATCGTTCTACTGTAATGATAATTTTATTTTTTATTTAAGCTTTGTACACAGTTTAAAGTACATAGTGTAACATTACATAGAAATACAATGATGTACAGGTGAGCTTAACTCTAAAAGAGTTCTCTTACAGCTAACCTTGCGATACAGAGAGGATGTATAGTGGGTAATAACAGTATGTGTACAAGTAGACATAAATTTATAAATTCTTACGTACTACTAAACTTAACTATTTGAATCTTAAATTTAATAAATATAAATAAATTTATATAAATAAAAGTAATCTGTTATTCGAAATAACGACGTAATAAAATACTAATTAACCTCAAAAATAAATATATAGGCATATTGATGAGTTCTTAATTCGTCGATAGTTAATATTGTTTCTTTTTTTATTTTTGCGTCGAAATTATCCGTCGACACATGAAAGAATCCTGAAAAATCCAAAAAACTCTATGAGATTGTGTTGCGCAAGTCGATTAAAGGCAAAATCTCAGGGCATAGATCATTTATGTAGCATTGTCTACGAATAGCCTTAAATGTAGTGTAATATGTAAACTATTCTATATGTTATTAATAAAAATTACCTCGCGCATGACAGCATAACTGAAAGTTTGAAAAGGTAAGGAAAGGTTAGTATTTTCAAAAGGCCCTTCCCATCCTTTCCTTATAAGAAGAGGGTAGGAATGAGTAAGGGACTAAACTTAGGAGTCAGGCACGCACACTTATGAAACTAAACAAGGAATTACTTTAACTAGAATCGCGCAAAAGACCACCTGTGTTCTGCACAATTGCGATCGTAGTATTACACCGGGCGAACCCGCCATGCGCGTAAAACATGTTATTGTTGTTGGCGACTACCACGGTCATACACCTGCACAAAGCGCAGTTCAGTATTCGTTTTCAGACCCAAATTTTTCATGTTGGAAATGAAGCAGAGTGGATGTTTGTTTAAACGAGAACGGCTGTATGGATCTCCCTGACATTTGACCGAGACGAGGAATATAGTCTGGAAGAACACTAAGGCTACTAATTATTTATAATACAGCGCAGACGGAGTCACGGGAGACATCTAGTTTATTAATAATTAGATATGTTACTGAACAAATTTACCCAACGTCGCTTGCTGTCATAAATAAGCTTGGTATGTTCATGCCGAAAAAAGAGTTCTAAAAAGTTTAAAACCGTTTTACCGACCGGCCTTCTTTGCTCAATTAAATATGCTTCGATAGTATCTGTGGAGCATACTAATGACACAACCTGAAAATGATATTAAATTGTAGTTAAACACGTTTCATAAGCACGACGGAGTTTGGGCTCGTCGGAATATATCAAGTAGTCGGTAGCGACAGCTCAATGGTGGAAAGATGCAAAGGACACGATTGGGCAATAAAGACTGAAGAACCAATTGACCGATTTCAAAATATGAATTGTATAATGTATGTTTGTGTCGAATAATGTATTCTCCCTTAAAGACTCGCGAGTTATTTAGTCAGGCTAATTATTTTTCTTTTAAATTTTGAAGCCGTAAGGTACGCGTCCATTGGCCCGCTACCAAATGCACCGCACGTACTGTCCGCAAATGATTTTAGTTTGCTTTGTATGATTTGATATCGAAAGATAAAGCGAATCCGTTGAGATGCGAGCGGTGCATTCAACGCGAGCCAATGGACGCATACCAGTAAACCGTTGCAACCTATACCAGGCTGTAACTGCTGTTGGGTGGCCGTGTGTAAATCAACCGTGAACCAGTTCGAAAGATCAGGTCAAATTGAAATAAAACGGTCACTGGCTGAAATAATTATATTAATAATTATACATATTCATTTACTTTTCATATTTTCAACATAATACAGTTCAAATATAAAAAAAAATATTATATTAAAAATAGAGCACCACCGGCTGCGGAATCTCATAACTCAAACAACCAGCGGTCAGGGCACCTTATTAAATAGTACAATACTCACATTAACAATGATGGATAAATAAACCATAAGTTTTAAAATTTCCGTCCATATGTGAAAAGAATTGTTTTTCAGAAGCAGAGGTCTTCGGTAATGAAGTGTACATAATTCTGCGTCCCGCCTGAAACAGTAATTCAAATAGTGTATCCCAGACCTCTTTTTCAATACCGAATTTTAGCTTGTATCTTTATACAGGATGTTTCTTAATGAACGGATCAAAACCTTTGTAGTGATTAAGGACCCCGATATCTATTGTTTAATTCCGGTACAGTTTTTGATTTTGACGGGACTTTGAAGGGAGACTAGATGATGCTCGCGAGAATATTTTAGGTTAATTTATTTAGTTTATGCTGACGACATCGCGGGTGTCCGATAGTGTTAAATAGATTTGATACTTTTTATTATTTTCAATGTTCAAAATATCATCCTTTACAATAAAGTTATATCTACCAAATGTAGCATCAGTTGTGTTTAAATACAAAATTGGATTTTACCAAAAAAATATTACATAATTATCTAAATTCTTGGTTTGAGATGAATTTACTCGACCAGCGTCTTAATTGTAGTGATTTAACAGTAGTAGAGCTCGCTTTAACATCTTCGCACGAATCGGCCCGGCTCGCCCGGTGAAATACCACGACCACACAGAAGACAGGCATGAAGTGGAAGCAATTTCGCGTTTCGTCTGATGAGTGTGCGTCCCGGAGGCCTAATTTAGTCCTCTTTCCCTTCCCACCCTTTTTCTCTTCTCTTCTCTTTCTGATAAGGAAAGGATGGGAAGTGGAAGTGGACTTTCCGGATGAGAGGATGCATGGGAAGGTAAAATATTTTCTTTCTGTGCATCCTCTCCTCCGTCGATTAAAGGTAGGCAAAGCATATGCAATTGCGTATGGCTATGGGCAACGGTCACTTCGCTATTTCAGCGATTTCAGGTGGCCGCTCGCTCGTTTGCCACCTTATGATATAAAAAAAATGAACTTTATTTTTATTTTTTTTATTCTCAGTCCTTGCTAGATGTAAATATTATTAGGGGTTTCTAGAATATCCTTTCAACACGGAACACCTGTATATTGTATATTTTCTTACTTAACAAATTATTAAAATATGTTAATTGATTTTTACTACGAGCAGGATACAGGAGTCCAAACTAGGGTAAAGATACCTCGTGCGATGGTTCACAATGCTTAACTAGATAGACAAAAATAAACACATTGTTTGTAGCACATCTTTTCACGCAGATAGGGTAACTTAATGGATAGGTAATAAAATTTAAATAATGGTCACCTCATATCGTACATATTGAACAACAATACAATCACTATGGCGGGCGGAGACGCAAAACCAAAGGACATGATCAAGGTGAACTGCATTACTGAAATAAAATTAATGGGTTATTAATACATATATAAACCTATATATTCATTATCAGGTAAAGTATAAATGTATATAAATTATATTGTACATTGTATTATATTATTAATTATACAATTATTTGTCTCTTTCTATCATCTATTCACCAACAAATTAAAATACAGTATAATCTCACTAATCCGGCACTTCGATAGATCGGCAAATCGGCAAGTCCAATGGCACCCTTAGCCTTCGCCCATATATACCTACGCGCTTCGGTCGCTGCGTCGTCGACAAGTAGTCTAACCTAAAAACTTATATTTACAAGTATTATACAAGTTGCACAAAAGCCAGCCTCAATTAAAGATTATTTTAAAACTAGTTACATATGTACCTACGTGTTAATTTAATACATTATATACCATTATTCCCTCTATAAAATGCTTTATTTCATTCATTACCTATAACTTTTTCACTTTTATCCAGTAATCCGAACATTTTAATAATCCGGCACCCTTCGGTTTTTACTAGTGCCGGATTAGTGAGATTGTACTGCAGTATTCTTTATGCCTGACGTAACTTATTCTAAGTTTAAAAAGTAATTTAACCAAGACTAAAATTACAATTAATCCCACTCCTCTATCAAATCTTCTGCCAAAAGAGGAATAGATTTGGTATCCGACACCACAAATGTATTATCAATAAAATACACATTTAATTTACCAAGAATTGTCATTTTCTTTGCTAGGTAACTTTCTTTAAATGGAGGTAAAATGTATTCTCTCTCCCAGCACGGAACGTTTTGCACTATCGTACGTTGATTATAATCAGTCAAACTAAAAAGTAATCAAATATTATTTCCATAAAATTTTAAATTAAATATTTTTTTTTCATAAGAAAAGGGGGAATACGAGCAGCAGGAACACCGAGGTGTTCATCGGCGCCCAAAGACATCTACAATACCAGAGGAAACCGCAGATTCGTTGCCGGCCTTTGAGGTAATAAGGAACAATAACATTCACATTTATTTACCTTGTGTATAGTGACACTTTTCTCAATATCACAAATCTTAGAAATAGAACAATTGTATATGCAATGGCAAGCTCGTAGACGCATGATGTCATCACACACATGTTAAAAACTATTATTCGTTCATATGATTTTGAGTTATTAACTTCTCTTTCAAAACCACTGTATAACTTGAAAATACCCTGTGAATACATGAACGTACTGTTTGGTAGACTTTAGGTTTGAATACATCTATTTTTTTATTTAAAATATTATCAGATTTTTTTGCAAATTTACTAATATTTCTTTTACCATTCCAACTAAGCTCTAGGCTTGTGCTAGGATATGATTTACGACAATAGTCGAATGGCGGGAATCGAACTCCCGACCTCGTGATCGGAAATCCTTACCCTTAACCATTAGGATATTGACGCTTTATATATAAAAATCAATTGATGTTCGTTAGTCTCATTAAACCCGAGAACGGCTGAACATATTTAACTTATGTTGATCTTGTTCTCTGGCAATTCTCTCGAAAATGGTTTTGCCACATATTAATATTTTCGTCCAAGTATGAAGGAACTTCAAGAAGTAAGTTTTAGATAGTAGTGAATAAACTTATAAAACCAACGCATATCATCTTGAGACCACAACACCAGTTAACGGTCAGGGATCAGGTACAAGTGCTACGATGTTTTTAGAACGTATCTCCAGAATGGCTGCATGGATCTCGATGAAATTTGGCTTAGATAAAGAGCATAGTCTGGAGAAAAAACACTAGCTACTAATTTTTTTTTGCATTCCGCGCGGCCAGAGAAACTGGCAACATTCAATTTATTATAAAACAAATATATTTACCGAATGAAATCCAAAGTACCCAAGCACTATCATAGGCAGAAGGAAACACAATGTATAAAGGTGTACTACAAGGGACCGGCTGTACGATTCGTAGGTTCTATGATTTTCTTTTTGAACTATTATATACGCAACTCTGCTAAGAATCTGTCAAACATGATTAAAAACGTCTTAATGAAAGAGATTTAAACTCAATTATCTTTTAAAATTCCCTTTTGTCATTAACTTTACTTATAAAGCGGTCATCCGGCAACAGAAATCTTTGCTGGGGGCTTTATCTATAAACATATGTTTATTTTATATATTTATAAATTACAATATTTAACAGTGGTAGAGCCCGCTTCAACATCTTCGTACGAATTGGCCAGACTCGCCCGATGAAATACCACGACCACACAGAAGACAGGCGTGAAGTGGAAGCAATTCCGCGTTTCGTCTGATGAGTGTGCGTCCCGGAGGCCTAATTTAGTCCTCTTTCCCTTCCTACACGTTTTCTTATAAGGATGGGAAGTGGAAGTGCACTTTCAGGATGAGAGGATGTGTGGAAATGTTTTCTTTCTGTGCATCCTCTCCTCTGTCGATTAAAGGTAGGGAACGCATATGCAATAGCGTATGTCTATGGGCAACGGTCACTTCGCTATTTCAGCGATTTCATGTGGTCGCTCGCTCGTTTGCCACCTTATGATATAAAAAAAACTTACGAGATCAATGATAAAGAGAACTATGACGAATCCAATCATAGTATAAATCAATTTCGGAATAAGTGTTTCTGGCTTAGTAATATTATTACGTATGATGTAGTCTCTGTCTTGCTCCTTTCTTAGTTTTAAAAAGATAGAAAAAACTAATACAGTCAATAAAATCTGTTGAAAAGACAAACAATTATTTATTATATTATTCAACATACTCAATAAAATCGAAAAAATAATTTACATACTGTTTCTAAACACCGTTCATTTATCGGTTATTTATTCGATAGTAATAAGTTCGATAACTTCATAAAATGCCTTTCCATCTTACCTATTATCCATTGAACATTTGCTTTTTTTTTTATTCAGTGACAGTTATATTCTAAGGTAGCAAGCATATATTATACATTTATGATCACACAAGTGTTCTAAATAATCTTTATTTTATAAATGTATCAAAATACCACAGCGGCAAACTATGTAATTACATTAAACAGGTAAACTAACGATTATAAACATTTTATCTCGTTACTTTTTTATTTATTTGTAAAGGGATTCTGTGGCAATGTGACCATACAGCCCATCTGCTTACTTATTTATTGTTAGAAAATATCATTATTTTAAATATGTTTAAAGAAAATAGGACCTCTTTTTAACTTTTAAATTATTTCTTTTTCGTTTTTCATGTTAATGTGAGCGATTTCAATTTATTATTTTTAGAGATTGTAATATTATCCGTTTTATTGTTATTGAACTTTACTTTTAGTAATAATTTATGTTGTTTCTTTTATTATCAGAAACTCAAATACGTTCTTAATTTGAGGATTCTCATTATATATGTTCATTCATCATCAGCTCACTACGTCCCCACCGAGGGGCTCGTAGCCTACCCTAAGTTAAGTTTGATTAGATAGTCAACCACGCTGGCAAAGTGCGGGTTGGTTGACTTCACACATATCTTCTGAATTTCACTATCGCTGAATTTATTCTCAGATATGTGCAGGTTGCATTACGATGTTTTCCTTCACGGTAAGAACGTCGGATAAATGTACATATGTAAATCGGAAATCGAAAAACACATTGGCACATGGCAGGGTTCGAACCCAGGACCTGCAGATTGCAAGTCAAATCCTTGACCCCTGAGCCACCGACGCTCTTATTATTATTATTACATATGTAAACAAATAAAATACTTACGACAACAATATAACAAATTAAATTTATTATTTCAGCATAGTACGATTTACCAGTCATGGTAATGCCCGTTTTGTTTGATTTCCCAGCTGTTTCAAGATGCATCTGGAATTCCGGTCTGAGAATAAAATAAAAATAAATGAATTACTTAACTTATTTAACAAGTTATTTAGACCCCACCGGTTATAATAATTATCATTGAAGTCAAAATCTTGCGAGATTGCATTGATACGCAATGTAAAAATTAAGTTATAAATATTTTATTTTATATGGAGATTGCTTAAACATAAACCCTTAATAAATATATATTGGTACAGGTAAATCAATGCTATGTACCTTGTTTGTTTTTTATTGTACTCCTTATTTTGGGTTTCCCATATCCAGCTCAAATATTTTTCTCTTCCAATCCAATACGCAATCAAAAAGACACCTGCAAACGATAATTTTAACCCTCGGTCATTCCTAACTAAGAGCCTTTCCAGTGCTATTTAAGCTATATGGCGGCTCGAAATTTTGCTTGAGAGGCAAAATTTTGGGTATCGGAATGACTCCTAGACTACGAGTGTGGGCTGAACCTAACACGCGCTCTTTTACAACGGCTACATGGATTTCGCTGAAATTTGGCAAAGATGTAGATGTTTGAAAGAACACAAGGAATACTAAAGCTAGCACATTATTAATGGTACAACATACCCCAGAGAATGATGAATGTTGCGAAATATTGTGTATACTTATTATCTGTTAATATGTATATTGTATACATATTACAAAAGTTCCGTACAGGTGTATTATAACAAAAATCTAAATCTTGAGCTTTTGGGCAATCAGAACATATAGATTCATAGGATTCGCAAAGTGGTGATCTGAAAAGTTATTTTTATTACTTCAATATATTTTGAGTTTATATTGAATCAGTTTAAAAATAAAGAAAAATAATGGATGAACGGATATTAATAAAATTTGGCATATATATAGAACATAGTCTAGAATAACACGTTGACTACTAATTATGTTTTTTTTATATACCGCGCGGATTGAGTCGCCCGCAACCATACAATATTATATAGTATAAAAATAGTTCAATTATCGGTATAAACATAATATATACTACCCCAAAAGATATAGTTAGGCACTGTTTAATTGTTAAAACACGTGTTTTAACAGTTTGAGCGCTGGTAAAGGATGTTATGGACGTCGAAGCGGTTATTTGTTTCACTATAATGTATTACCACATTACTTTCGCAAGTTTACTCATAATAATGTTATCAAGTGACATGATTTGTCTAAAATCCGTCACGGTATAAAAAGGTTGACGTATGTTTAAGCTAAAATGTATTTGAATCGCTGTATAATTTGTAATTATAAATTTCTGCAGGCTCAATCGACTACGGCTAGTGTACGCCGCGACGATGGCGAGTCGAGTGATGCCGTGGGCAAACAGTTTACAAGTGCACGATAACCTTTTCGATTAGAATATAATATTTAAATTGCAATACAATTCAAATATGTTATTTAAAAATAAAGAGTTATGGAATCTATTGATGTTTAAAATTTAAAATTTATACTTTATCCACAGCATAGATAAAATGGTTTACTTACCTCACCTCCATATAGTTTTCATTTAGAAATACAGCCAAGAAGAGTGCTGTAAGAGCTGCTATGGACGCAATTGTTAGAAATAGATTGTAAAGTCCATAATAAGCGAAGTACGTGGCAATCTAAACAACATGAAATATGATAAATACATTACGTGTCTTGTAATAACACTGATACATTACTTTGTAGAATATTGGTGTTAGAACTTACCTTTGGCCCAAAGTATTCATGCACCACGTTTAATGGCTGTCTCGTTAATATATTCGATATACCGGCCCAATTATAAAATAGGATCTGGAACATTAAGAACTTTTGCTCAATAAACACAATATGCCATAAAGTTTACAAAAAAACATAATGCAAAAGAAAGGACTAAATTTATTTATATTATAAAAAATACTGATTATCTGTATGCAAAAAATATTATTTTGATGTTGAGTGCACATGTTCCACTATACTAATAATAATAACAAAAAAATTTGCAAAATGTCTGTCAATCAGCTCAACTGATTTTAACTTTTAATTAATGAAAACTTGTATATGAAGAGAAACCTAGGGTTATTTAATGTAAATAATCTAATCAGGATTTGCATATTTTTCCACAACCCCCTCAATATAGGGATCACATTTAAGGCCTTGACTATCAGAATACACTATTCAAAATGGCCGCCGTCACAAAAAGTGCGGATGATTTATTTTTCTATAACCACCAATGAAAGGAAGTGAGTAATGGTACAGCGTGGTATATTCAAAACAACAACTTAAAAATGAATTGCTATAAGTAAGAAGTTGACTTAAAAATATATTATAATATTGCTTATTTTTTATTATAAGCTGATACCTTTGATAATTTTGTAGTAGATATGGAGCCGTGAGGACGGTTTGCCGTAAACATAACTTAGATATTAGGTAGGCTTAGATATTCAATAAATTCATGTTTATAATATTAGGACAAAAGTCACAAACACTGTGGCAGAATAATGTGATATAAAACCATTTATAACAAATAAAAAAATTAGATAAATGTGTATCTTTTGTCCAGTAGTCGTAAACGTGTGTGTGACATTACCTGACGAGCATTAATATTTGTAGCGTCTTGTGGAATGTAATACGGCCCGTCATGCAACGCGTATGCATCTATTACTACCTTGCGTTTTATTAACCTAAAAATATTTTTTTTATTATAAATGTGTCATAAGCTGTATTAAATTTACGCTACATTTGATAAAGTGGCTTCTTACCTTTCCAGTCCTATATAGTTTTGTCGGTCTCCAAATGGAACGTTCAGCAAGGTCATATAAACAACAAGGCTTCTCTCTAAGCTCGAGTATTGCAATGGTTGTGTGTACTGCTTTCTATAAACAATTATGTTTGTTATTATAATAATTCAGCTGTAATGTTTTTAAAGGCAGATATGTGTGAAAAATGTATCTAGGACAATTTCTATTTATAAAACAGTAAATACCTTATTAAATTTATCCACTCGCGTTCTTTATGTGACATTATGTGTTCGGCACGAGCAATCTGAAGACACTTTACACCAAAAGCATTTCCTAAATTGTTCAGAACATCATTCGGACAATGCACTTTAAAAAATATTAACTTATTGTGAATCGGCAACTAAAATAAGCAGACATACATAAGTAAAAATTACAGATATTTATTAGGTTGCCCGAGAAGGTCACAAACTTTCAGGTTTTGGACCAAAAATTGTTTGGATGAGATTCCGTTTGATTGAGCAACGGCAGACGACGGAAGACAGGCGTGAAGTGAAAGTAACTCGGCATACCGTCTGATGAGAGCCTACCGTAGGTATTTTAGTCCTCTTACCCTTCCCACCATTTTCTTATAAAGAAGAAATGGGTAGAGAAGGTGGATTTTGGCGGAAGAGGGATCGTATAGGAAGGAGAAATATCCTCTGGTTGTGAATCTTCTCCTATGTCTATTAAAAGTAAGCATCGCATTACCTAATGCGGATATCTATGCACGAGAAGGGGACACCCAATTCTTATGTATCCCCCTCCTTATTCCTATCCTCTTCTAAGCCCCACCCCACCCTTTCCTTATAATAACTGAATGTGCGTAGCGGGCTGAAAAGAGAAAAAGTTACTTACCACTCCATTTTCAAATTCAATTTCTAATCCCATTTTAACAATGTTGGTTAGAAAAGTGTTTTTCATAGGGTCAGCTACGATGTTTTCTTCATCTTTCATCACTAGGATTAGATCTATTTTCCGAATGCCATCTCTGAATGTTCGTCCTGTACTTTTAGGAGGTAAGGTACTCTCGTTAGAATCAAACGTCGGGCGGTCTGCTGCTTCCTATGTGAACATTCATAGCTACAGATTTACAATTAAAGATATTAATTTTTTTATTCAAATAATTCAGTTCATGCTATATTGTTAATACATATAAGGTAAAACCTAAGTTTTACCAACGAGTTACAGCTAAAACCAAAGTTTTGTGATGTTTTACCATTTACCAGTATTTACAACAATTTGTTAAGTACCTATTTATACGATTCACCAAATGATATTAATAAAATTGGTAAAAAAAACTGATTAAAATGGTGGCAAATGCCCATCAATGGCCATGGTAAGTAATATGCCCATAAGTATCAAAAAAATTCCGGACTTTCATTACAAACGTATTATGTGTTAGATGTGTTTATTTATCTCAAACACAATGTTATTTGCGCAAATAACGTTTTGGCAGCGTCTCAATATTTATATTATTAATTATAATTAATTATCTTTAATATTATTATTAGTACGATCGTTTGAATGTAAGGATGGATGTTTTTATCTGTTAAACAGCTCAACGGATCTCGAAATTTGGAATTGATGTGGAACATAGTCTGGAAGAACGTATAGGCTACTATTTTATTATGCGGGGACGGAGTCGAGGGCGACAGCTTGTTTAGATGTAAAATATCAGAAGACATTTCGACAAACCATCGTCTTCAATTCCTTTTTCCAGTTTTAACACTCATTCGGCGTAATAAATTGTTTATAAAATTCTCATATAAATAGAACAATACAAAACGTTCATAGCAAACGAAAGCAATATATATATAGCAAATATTTTGACACTGACAACAGTGACTTTGACAGTTTTGAGACGTAAAAATGGCCAGCAACTTTTTGATAAGACCATGAAAGAGAACCAAGTAAGTAAAATCTACAAGATAGGTATAGACCGACAGCATGACCTCTATATACGATATCTTTGCTTTGATAGCAAAGCATGAAGTAGCTGGCCATTGTGATACGTCACAAAATTGTCACTGATAGAGATTAGTGTCAAAACATATTTATGCCATTTATTAATTTATTTATTACGAATGTTTTGTATTATACTATTTATACTAGATGTATACATTTTAATACTTCAAAATGAGTGATAAACCCGGGAAAGAGGAAATGATACCGATGGTTTGTCCTACACATATTTTTTTTAAATTATTGTTTATATTTAAATATTTGATTTTTATGGATAATATCGCAACTTCAAGTTTTTGTCTTTTTATTCTAAATAAAAAAAATCAAAAAATAATTTGTACATATGTGGTACTACAAAAGCCCTACTTGGGTAAATAAGATTTTTGTGATAGACACCAGCAATAACAAAATCTCTTTCACGAATAGGACGGCTCGATCGGTGAAATACCAAGACCACACAGAAGAAAAGCATGAAGTGAAAACAATCCTGTGTTTTGTTGGATGAGTGTCAGCGCCGGAAGCTTACTTTTAATACTCTTTCCCTTTCCGCCCTTTTCTTATAAGGAAAAGATGGGAATGAGAACAATATTTGACGTAGGAGTGAAAGCATAGAAAGGGGAAATGTTCCCTTTTTGTGTGCCCTAAGTATGAGGATATTAGGCCATAGCAAACCACGGTGGCTATGTGCGGGCTGGTTGACTTCACACATATCTGATTTTCTTCGCAGATAACACCTAATTTAGGGTAGGCTCCCAGCCCCTCAGTGGGGACGTATAGAGAGCTGATGTGTTCCCCTCCTCCATCTGCTGGCTACGCATTTGTGATTGCGAATAATCTCTTCGCTATTTAGGTGAATTCAGGTGGCCGCTGGATAATAAAAAAAAATCTTTGATTTTAATTTAATAAAGATTAAAATCTATTTGATTGCCACCTTATAAAAAAATAAAAATATTTTTTATTGTAAACATATAGGCTGTTTTCATAGGAAGCATTGGACGGTGTGACATCAGATTCTAAAGAGAGTACTTTACCTCCTAAAAGTAATACGGATCGAACATTTAGAGATGGCGTTCGTAAAATAGATCTAATCCTTGTTGTGAAAGATGAAGAAAACGTTATAGGTGACACTATGAGAAAAGATTTTCTCACCAACATTGTTAAAATGGGATTTGAAATAGAATATGAAAATGGTGTGGTAAGTAACATGTTCCCTATTTCAGTAGGTCACAATACTTAGCTATATAAAAAGTTGACCGGAAAATTCGTGTCGATCCATAGAAGAAGAAGCGTGAGAAGACACCTGAATATTGTATAATTTTTTAAAATACATGACAATGTGTACAATATTCTAAAAGCGGAGGTTTAGTTTTAATTTGTTAGTTTTTATCACTTTTATGCGCAAAGAATATGGCAGCATATACATAAAGTGCTTTTTTTGACAGTAAAACTGATAAATAAGCGGGTGTGTAAAACGCGTTCAAGTGGATTTGCCCTCGGACTTTCACCTTTTTCGATTATTACTACATTTTTCTTAATCAAAATAATTCTAACTTTTTGGTTGAGATTGAAACTCATTTTTGCCGAAAAACCTTAGAGGTTTTGGACTTCCCGGACAACCAGATACATTCCTGCCATTGTCATTTATCTTTTTGCTTATTTTAGTTACCGATTCACAAGAAGTTAATATTTTTTAAAGTGCATTGTCCGAATGATGTTCTCAACAATTTAGGAAATGCGTTTGGTGTAAAATGCCTTCAGATAGGTCGAGCCGACCACATAATGTCACATAAAGAGCGTGATTGGATAAATGTAGTAAGGTATGTATTGTGTAAAAGTATATACAATTTTACATAAGTCCAACAAACAGTATGGACGGCTGAATTATAATATTTGTAATTATAATTTTACATTACCGTAAATAGATTACAATATACTCAACCATTGCAATATTCGAGCTTGGACCGAAGCCTCATTGTTTATATGGCATTGTTGAACCTTCCATTTGGAAACCGACAAAACTATATAGGACTGGAAAGGTAAAAGCTGGTTTATCAAATTAGTGCAAATTGATAACAAGTTATGACACACTTATAAAAAATTTTAGGTTAATAAAACGCAATATCGTGATAGATGCATACGCGTTGCACGACGGACCGTACTTCATTCCACGAGACGCTACAAGTATTAATGCTCGTCAGGTAGTGTTATACACGGTTGCGATCGTATGACCAATGATACATTTATGTTATAGAGACGACGAGGATCAAGGTTTCATTTGAAAAAATCAACCGTCTATTTCTGATTATGGATATGTATAACAGGGACTCTAGTCATCTACTTTTTGCATGTTGCTCCCCAAAGTGGTCTTTTTGCCACCGAACCTCATTACATATTTTTTCTCGTCCACTTGAAATTTAGCTATAAAATTAACAGTGTACCAGGGAGTACCAGTATGCTAACACTCCGGATATGTGATTTGCCGGAGGCCCAATTTTGGTCTTTTTTTCTCATCCTTTTCTTATAAGGACAGGATGAGACTGGAACGGAATTTGACAGAGAAGGTGACGCACAGAAAGAGAATATTTTCCTTCTATAGTTAATATTTCAGATCCTATTTTATAATTGGGCCGGTGTCACGAATATATTTACGAGACAGCCATTAAACTTGGTTCATGAATACTTTGGACCAAAGGTAAGTGAAATATAAATTGCTTAAAATAAAAAGCTCTGAACCAACCCTCATTCAATTTTGTAAAAATGCCTATATTTAAACATGTAATAGGATTGCCAAACCCTGTTCGGACATTACTATGTTTAATAAATCTTTGAAGTGGTCAATATTGCGAATCGAAACCTCATTAATTTTCCTGAAAATGTTGTCACTTATTAATATCATATTTACGTTATTTACTATGGATTGGCGAAAAAATTGTCAAGAACATCGATGGAGGGTTTTGACTCAATAATAACCAAACCAAGATAGGGTCTGGCAACCCTGTTACAGCGTGTATAAAAAAACAGGTCTTAGAAAACTAGATGAGCATAGGTCAACACCAGTCCCGTGCAATACTTTTAGAAAATTATGATGACAATAACACATTTAAATTTCAATTTCTTTACTAAATCTGAGGAAGGTTCTTTTTGAGCAATAGTTTTGTAGTCAGCCACTACATGCAGGAGTGGTTTGACCAAGGTTAGTTAAAACTTTACAGAATACCCGTGCTAGGTATGACAACTGTCTGTTTTGTTTTATAAGTGAGACGTATGTATAGAGATGTATAATACAACACGCATTTACTACAACTGTTTTGGTTGCAGCATCAGATGAAATACTTTCTCATTCGCATTCCTCTTCCATAAAGCAATATCTTAACATTAACAAGCGATGTATTTTATTTATAATTCATGTTTGTCCAGGTTGCCATGTACTTCGCTTTTTATGGACTTTACAATCTATTTCTAGTAATCGCCTCCATAATGTCTCTAATAACACTCTATTTAGCGATATATAAAAATCCAACCTACATGAATGTAAAGTAAGTTGTAATTCAAGGCACTTTTAACACATTTTAAATGTAAATTGCCGTTGTTGCACGCCTATAAACTTCTTGTCTACCTTGCACCGCCCAGATTCGCATTCGCCGTTGCTTATTACAGAAGATAAAGTTATATACATATACGAAAATAATAAAGAGGACACTTTTATTTGTTTGCATTGAAAAGGCTCAGAAATTATTTCATTGTTCGGAAGCTACACTATTCCCCGGTGCTATTCAATAGGGTGCGATGACAGAAGTCGCAGGCAACGGCTCATCATACTAATATAATATTATAAATGCGATTGATTGGGTGGATGGAACGGCTGCATGGATTTCGCTTAAATTTATCTTTGATATAGAACATAGTCTGGAAGAACACATAGGCTTCTGATTTAGTTTTTTTGTTCATTGCGAACGGTGTCGGCTACAGTAATGAATAAGTTTAAAAATAGAAAAAGAAAATGAAATCTGCAAACATCGACTAAAAGTTATCCATAAGTTCCATCCATTCAGACATTCGCATTTATATTAGTAAAATATTAGTATGAAGTATGATAAGCCCAAAAGATATTGTATTAATACGATTAACTTTTCAGAGAAGAATTTTGTGAATGCGAACATCATATATTCTGCCTCAAATGTGGCAAAACACTTACGTATTGTTATACTTTGCCAGTAAAGAATTTATGCAATATTTTTTCATTGAATATCTTAGTGGATCATAAGTATACACCACATTTCTCGGCGTTCATCATTCTCTGGGGTACGTGTGCTATGTATTATATATATATATATATATTATTACCAGGTTAAACGCCATAATAGAAATAGAAAAATCACTAAAAAACTTTTTGATAGAAATAGATGCGTAATCTCGAATCTTCAAAATATATCTAGTTTACGGTTCAATCAGAAGCTGGGATACACAGATATTATAAAAAACTTCATGAGGTCACAGGTGCCCTACGCGGCGCTTAAATGCAGACAGGGATCCGGTCACCGTTGACCGGAGTGGTGTTCAACGTGTTAATATATATAATATTTATAACACTGGAAAATGGTACATAATCGTCAGGTAACTCAGTCGCTTGCTTTTTTGAAGCGCCATGAGAGGCCATTTTGAAGCGACCTGCGTCAGATAATGATAGACAACTTTTTCTCGTCTTCCTATTTTGAAGGCAGAGTACTACTGATCGGAGATGAATTGTTTTGGAAACTCAATAATTTTTTTAGCTTGAAAAAATGTATATTAGAAAAACATAGCCTTTTCAGGATAAGGTTCATCTATGGTTATATAACGTGTTTAAAATGTGAGTTTTTATAAATAATTCGTTTCAATCCTCACACTCGATGAGGGTTTGTCGATCATCAGTTTCGTCTACCCCACTTTTTTTTACATTGTACTATGTAACTTACCAACATGTTAAAATGTCAATAACTTACTATGGTAACTTACCGAACTTAACAATATACTACGTTATGGTTTGCAGGTATCTTTATGACGGCTTATTGGATTGGAAGAGAAAAATTTTTGTACTGGGTATGGGAAACACCAAATAAGGATTACAATAGAAAACAAACAAGGTAAATATTATAAATATTAGTAACCAGTTCTGACCAATCTTACTAATATTATAAATGCGAAAGTTTAGATGGATGGATGAATGTCTGTTTGAAGGCAGGTGTACGGTTTAACGGATCTTGGTTAAATTTCTCTTAAATGTAGATCATAATCTAGAAAAACAAATAGGCTGCTAATTAAGCATATATTATATACTAGCTGTCGCCCGCGACTCCGTCGGACTCGGGTACTCAGACCTACTCAATATGCTCACAAAATTTCATGAGAATCGGTCAAGCCGTTTCGGAGGAGTATGGGAACGAAAATTGTGACACGAGAATTTTATATATAAGATAATCCGAGCGGATGGAGTCGCGGGCAAAAGCTAGTTAATATACCAAACTTCTGTGGTAGGCCAACTTACTATTTTTGAGCAAATCTGGGGAGTCGAATTCTATTCGAGTTACTAAACATCGCAAAGTATGAAATCTATGTAGTGGTTGTTTTCGAATTTATGTAACTTTCTAATAGATCCCGTAAACTGACCTTCCTAATTCTGCTACCGAGCTTGTTGTAATAAAAAGTAAAACGGCAAATAAATAAATATTCAAAAATTTTCCCCTGATGCTATTTGTATGATGTGAAATATTTTTTACCAAGTTGAAACGTTGTGCTTAAATGTTCCACCTTAATTGCTCATTTTTTGCCTTTTTAATCACAAAGTGAATTATTCTACCATAAAGTGAGCCAGCCTTACGAAAGTTGGCACATACATATACATATGTACAGTCAGCGTCATATAGATCGTCACAGACAAGATATGCAAATATATAGGTACACCGAAAGTAATCAATTATATCGGTACAACAAAAGTCCTCAAAATAATAGATACATTCACCCTGCTCAAATACATCGGTACATACACAGCGTCAAATATATGAGTACATGCAAGATGCTCATAAATATCGTAGCAGCCACAGCGTCATAAGTAACGAAGCAGTCAAGGTGCGCAAAAATATCGGTACATTTGACAAAATTGAACTCTATCTCTATATACTTGTGATACAATTTGGAATAAACTACTTCTGTTACATTCATTTGATACTTTGCATCAAACCATTTCTCAAAATTTACTAAAAGTGTTCGACGCGGATGACAGATATTAGGTAGATAAAACCAACATCAAATTTTAGTTTGTCATCATATATGCTAGTTTGGTCTCGTGGCCTTACCGTTCGCCGCCGTTGGTACGTAAGGTCGGCGGTTCAAATCCCAAGCCACTATTTTTTTTTTGATATTTAAACTTTTTAATTTTAATATCGAAGCACATGTAATTAAACTCTATCGCCGTAGTTATTAGGTACTTTTTGATATTGCCTTGGACTAATGAGTTTGACCGTTAAAGTACTTTTCTATTTCAAACAAAAATGAAGGAGATAAAGCGATGCTATTGGCATGTAATTTGTTTATTACTCATGTTTGTTAAACTTGTACCGGTAAAAATAACACTTTTACTTTTACCTTTTACTGATACTGATTATATTTAAGAAACAAAGAAAAAAAAACTGAATGTCAATATCCAAACTACATCAAATTTTTGGTCGATTGCAATAAACATTCCAGTGTGCGTGGGCGCGCACACATATGTAGATAACACTTGTACGTATAGTTTCCGCGCGTACCATTCTTAAAACCCGCAAAGATAATCCACGCTCCGCCCACTCACTTCACCCGCGATGGTCTGACCTAATTGTTGTTAACTTTATTTAAATTTCTTTCTACCCGACAGCGAAAATTATAAAAAACAATTGTCGAGCAAAATTTTACATTACCAAATTTTTACTGGTTATGAAAAAATAACCCCGTGATTGATAAAATGAAAAAAAGTAGCCTGAGATTCGAACCGGTAAACTTACATATTACGGCAAACATACTAGAATACTGCGCCAAACTAGTATTATATATATTGTGACAAGGCAAAATTTGATATTAGTTAATAATAATAATAATAATAAAACTTTATTGCCATAAAAAAAACTGAACAAAAATATACAACACACTGTTATACAGAGATAGTGCTGGCAAAAGGGGGTGACTCAGCTTTGCCAACACAGGTCATATTCCAGTGTCGAGCTGGTATTCAGCCACCCCCCCTTCCCAAGATGAAAAAGGGGGAATAGATAGTAGATGGTCGCTGTACACTATTCATAAAGTTAAAAATCAGAAACTAACAAATTATTACTTAATACTTAATGCGTTTAACATATTCGAACAGATAATTAAAAGACACACAATTTAAGAAAATGAAACTGTTAAGTAAGTATATATAATATTTCAACCAATAATGATCATCTACTACTCTTGTTTATATGTAGGTAGTTTTTTCCTTTTAGCAAGCACCAGCTTTCCGATGTGTGTGCGTGTGTCATATTCGGCGTGTCATAGTTAATACGTATCTGTCGTATTCGTCGTGACAAACTTTTATATTTAAGCGTTATGACAGGAGAAGAAAAATATTGGGTTGCCCAGTAAGTTCCTGCCGCTTTATAATGAAAATTGAAACCCTGTTCTCTTAAATTTTTGGAAATGTTTTTAAATTATATTGGTACGACTCTATACCTAAAACGTCTTTTATTATTGGATAAAATTTTAAAAATTAGTTTTTATCTCAACCAATGAAATGAAATTATTCACAATATAGAAATTTTTGTGACGTTTGATAATGGTGGAAATCCGAAAATGAATCCACTTCAGCTACAGTCTATTGTAAGCTTTATATCGAAAATCAGAACGAACTTTCCGGACAACCTATAATGTTAATACAAAGTGTCAAATGAATGTAACAGAAGTAGTTTATTCCAAATTGTATCACAAGTATATAGAGATAGAGTTCAATTTTGTCAAATGTACCGATATTTTTGCGCACCTTGACTGCTTCGTTACTTATGACGCTGTGGCTGCTACGATATTTATGAGCATCTTGCATGTACTCATATATTTGACGCTGTGTATGTACCGATGTATTTGAGCAGGGTGAATGTATCTATTATTTTGAGGACTTTTGTTGTACCGATATAATTGATTACTTTTGATGTACCTATATATTTGCATATCTTGTCTGTGACGATCTATATGACGCTGACTGTACATACATGATAAAGTAAACAGATGCAATCAATGACTGTACCTGGTGTTTTGTATGCATGACTTTCTAGGTAATTCATTCGTTTTTATTTCCAGACCAGAGTTCAAGTTTAATTTTGACACAGCGCCAAGGTCAAGAAAAACAGGCATTGTCTTGATTGGCAAAACTATAACTGCTAAAATAATAACCTTAATATGCTATATCATTCTCGTAAGTATTTCATTTATTTATACATTTAATACTATGTTTTTAATACGACAACAATAAACTTTACGGAATCAGATTAAATCTTATTATACTAATATTATAAATGCGAAAGCTTAGATGGATCGATGGATGTTTGTTTGAAGGTATATCCAGAACGGCTAAACAGATCTCGGTAAAATTTTGCACACATATAGAACATAGCACACATATATAGGAAGTACATATAGGCTACTAATTATGTTTTTTTTTAATTCCTCGCGTACGGATTTGCGGGCGATAGCTAGTTATTTATAATCATTAGTTTAGTGTGTTTATTAACCCTTTGAAAGCCAAGACAAAACAGCATAACTTTATCCCGTAGGCCAAACCGCAAAACCGTAAGTATACACTACAAGAAAAACAAGGCCTGCAGCAGTTATGTCGATAACGTGCTTTACATGTGATTATGTAATACTAGTGTAGATACTGGTATTTAAAACATACGCTTCATCAGTAAATTTAATGAGATAGTAGAACTATTCAATATTTTAGGATAAAATTATTTCGCTCACATAGGTTTAATCTTAACATTTTAAAAATTGGTTTTTCGTTATCAGCTACGCAAATACGTTGTGTACGAAATATGATATATTATTCTATATTACCTACAGACACTTCAATTTTATTTATATGAATAGAGTATAAATAAAGTGTTTTCCTTTTCAACAGATTGTATTGGCTGTAATTGTTTGTGCCATCATTTTAGAACAAAGAAAGAAGCAAGATAAAAACTATATGATAAATAATAAGATTCGTGATCCAGACGTTATAATTCCGAGGATAATTCATACCATGGTCGGTTTCGCCTTAGTCCTCTTCGTCATTGGTATCGTAAGTTTAACATAATTGTTATAATCTAAAAGTGTTAGCACCAAGCAACGATATTAGTTGCCGAACGTCCTGGTTCTGCCTGTCAAATGGCACTAACTGACAGACGATAAGCGAGAAGTAGGAGGTTTCAACGTGGGTAGAATGGAAGAGAATTCACATAGGTCAATTGTTTTTCATTTCCCTATTCTTGCAAATACAATTTGTCAACTAGGCTTTCGACTTTCTGTATTTTTATGTCGATGAAATCGCGCTTGTCAATAATTACGAGCTGCAGAGGAAATATTAAAAATTTTTTCGTTATAAATTGGGGAGAGCTGGTCTTAAAATTAGCTGTCCCAACAAGAAGATTTATTCGATGTTTTAATGATCAAACTAGCTTTTGTGCCATTGCTTTAAATATTGCTTCTACCTGTGTGCCTAGCACGAAAATTTGCGAAAAAGTATTTGTATCAACTTTGATGAAATTAAATTTTGTCATATCGACACGAATGCTTTTTCGCAAATTTTCGTGCTAGGCCCACTGATTTCAAGAAAGTTACATTATAATAATACAACAACTTTTGCTAGAAATTACAAACTTTTTTGATACTTCTGATACAGCTCTTATGAGAACAGTTTGTTGAACGATACTATTTCCTATCAGTGGGAAGCAAATTTCTGCCTGTAGTTACTGTTATTTAAAAACATACGCTTCATCAGTATACTTATGACATAGTGGAACTATTTAATATTGAAGGGTAGATCAATTTCCCTCACATACGTATAATCTTATCATTTTACAGATTGAAAGGAAGTTTGCGTATTTGATAGTCCGTAGAGAAAATCATAAAAACTACAAATCTATCAGCCGATCCCTTATAAAACACCTTTATGTAATGTGTTTTCCTTTGCCTATGATAGTGCTTGGGTACTTTGGATTTCAAAAGGTAATTATAATAATAATAATATAGATGTATAATTGTGAATAAATCTTTTTTCAAAATAATCGGCTATGACTCGGTCGCTTTCAAATCTTTATTTTTTTATGTAGTGGTTTTTTTAGAATTTACTCTAAATGATTTCTGTATATCTGACAAAGTTCAAGACAGCCCTTTAGTACTCGACATTTAACTTTTCGTCCTTCCCTACTAAAAGTCTGTCATTCACTCCTTTACTGCAGCAATAGAGAGCCTTAGTTACTTTTACTTTTGCCCCTCCCACTTACCACAAAAGGCAGAGTACCAAGGAATTGTAAAGTCTTTTATTATTATTAATTTTTCAAAGATGAATAAAAAAACCTAACGGATACCAAACTTTTGAATTTGACAAAATTTTGCAATTCACAGATAATTTTCAAACTGTATACCGGTATGGAAAAACATGTCACTGGTGGACCACCAAACAGTTATAATTTTGGAATATTTTTAAGCCCGTGTTTGGTGACATCGTGCCTCTACGAGCTTTCCATTGCATTTCCAATTGTTCTAATTCTAAGATTTGTATTATTGAGAAAATTGTCACTTTACTCGAGGTAAATAGATAAATGGAAATGTAATTGTTACATTTAGTAGTTGATAAAACTAATGCTATATTACTTTTTAGTTTGACTGATTATAATCAAGGTACACTAGTCCAAAACGTTCCGTGCTGGGAGAGAGACATGGTTCTACCTCGATTTAAAGAAAAATTCCTAATTAACAGAATGAAAATTCTTGGTAAGTTAACTGAGTATCATTATTTTATTAAGAAGTAAATGCCGTCCGCGATTTCGTAAGCTCAGAATTAACAGCGACCAATTTTTCAACGTTATAAATGACAAAAAACGAGTTTATCAAAATCGGAGTACTATCGGAGTTATGCGGTAACAAACATTAAAAAAAAACAGACAAATTTTTAAGTCGGCTAATAAATAAAGAGAACGAACACCCAAAATACGTAATCGAAAACAACATAAGTAAACAGAAATTCATGCCATTAGATGGGATCAATCCAGATCCAGAGCGTCGGTGGCTCCGGAGTCAAAGACTTGCAATCTGCAGGTCCTGGGTTCGAATTCCGCCATGTACCAATGTGTTTTTCGATTTCCGATTTACATATGTACCTTTATCCGACGTTCTTACGTAAAAAAAAACGCCGTGATGCAACCTGCACATATCTGAGAAGAAATTCAAAGATATGTGTGAAGTCAACCAACCCGCACTTGGCCAGGCCAGCAGCGTTGACTATGGCCTTGACACCCTAAACTTAGGGTAGGCTGGTGATGATGAATCCAGATTTTATGATATGCCATACACCTATGAATAACTAATATTATTTACATTAGGCACCATCTAAGAGATTAACATATTAGAGCGCGTCAATACTATACACATGTTTTAATTAATAAGACAAGGAAGACACATTATTTAAGATTATTACTGCTCCGTGTATACGCGCGGGGCAATATGCGCGCAGCCCCCGACCCCCAGTATAATCTATATTTTTCCTGGGCTAATCACCACGAACAAATTTAAGTCCCTATGGTATTTTTGGGCAAAATCACAATACCGTGATTAACTAGGTGCATCTCTCTGTATATCCCCAAAGTTTCATATATGTATATACGCCTTGGGCCTTTTCCCATACCAACGAAATCCGTTTAGCCATTCTGGAGATGCGTTTGTATAATAATATTAGTAAAATAATATTAATATTATAAATAAGGAGCAAATTTCTGCCGTTGTGCAGGTCTTTTCCGGACAAGCTGTATAACAATAAGTAAATAACCCATTAATTTTATTTCAGTAATGCAGTTCACCTTGATCATGTCCTTTGGTTTCGCCTGTCCGCCCGCCATAGTGATTGTATTGTTCTTCAACATCTATGACATGAGGTTAACATTATTTCTTTTTAATTACGTATTACTTAAGTTAATGGGTTTACTATTAACGAGCTATCAGTGACATGAGACTGCAATTTGCTTTTGATACCAGTATATAATATGTATTCTAGGGGCTTTCAATAAATAATGAGAAAGCAGTATTTATATTAACACCAGCTTTTACCCACGACTCAATTATCGCGTAATGGCAATAACCCAAAAAATGGCAACACTGACCTGAAGAAAGCTAAAGAAATATATTATATTTAAATAGTTAAATATTTTTTTCATTTATAATGTATATTTGGCCTTCACCAGTTGATCTGATACATTCATCATCATCAGCTCACTATACGTCCCCACCGAGGGGCTCAGAGCCTACCCTAAGTTAGGGGTGATTAGGCCATAGTCAACCACGCTGGCCCACTGCGGGTTGGTTGACTTCACACATATCTTTGAATTTCTTCTCAGATATGTGCAGGTTGCATCACGATGTTTTCCTTCACCGTAAGAACGTCGGATAAATATACATATGTAAATCGGAAATCGAAAAACACATTGGTACCTGGCGGGATTCGAACCCAGGACCTGCAGATTGCAAGTCAAGCGTTAGACCACTGAGCCACCGACGCTCCCGTGATGTGTGATACACCGTGTGATACATTAAAAAAAACATAAATAATTACGAGAATTTCTTTCGTGTATTAATACACTTTGTGCTGTATAAAATGTATATCGATTTAGAGTTAACCATTGTTCTTTTATCTGTCGGTCCTGCCGAAACTGTACTCTTCATTCCAGGTAAACATCTCTGAAACGCGAGCAACAGCTATTTTTAGTAGCTTCTCTATAGATTATGTTAATTTAAACTATTGTTTCAGACGTGATGCAGAATTGTGTATACTTCACTACCGAAGACCTCTGCTTTTTAAAAACAAAACCTTCAAGATATGGACTAACATTTTAAAACTTATGGTTTATACAGCAATCGTTTTAAACGTAAGTATTGTACTACTTCATTACAGTTTTTACGTTTTACGTAACTCTTTCGAGTTATATTAGCCGCACGCTGTTGTAGTAATTTTTTAATTTAATTTAAATTTTTGACAATGTTTCTTTAAATTAATAAATAACTAGAATAATAACATTTTATTCTTTTACTTTAAAACTAGTTTAACCAGAGGTAAAAGAGGTAGAAAGAGATAGAAGTTAGATTGTCAACTCCAATTCAAGTCAAGTCAATTGTTTTTGAGGCAAACGACTTTTCGTATCGCTACTAGTTGGACGCAGTACGTTCTTGAAGCAGTAACTGTATGACAGCCATAACTTTTTCGTTGTAGACTCTTGGTAATACAATCTTGATCTATTATATAATATTTTCAGGTTGTGTCATTAGTGTGCTCCACAGATACAATACAGGTGCATTTAACTGAGCAAAGAGAGAAGCCCGGCAATGTTACGCTTGATCATTATCTCGGCATCTTTTTTCGGCATGAACATGCATTACTCTGGTCCTATTATTATGACCACTATGTAAAATTTATTTTATAACATATCTAATTACTAAGGGCGGTGTGCTGAAGTGGGTTTAACGATTCTATAGCGCTTGTGTTTCGATAACTTCATCAATTGGTGTTCCAAATTCCCTATTTGTAAATTCCCTACCTTGAGTTTTACGCCGTGAAAACTATAAGTTAACTTTAACAGTAGTAGAGCCCGCTTTAACATCTTCGCACAAATTGGCCAGGTTCGTCCGGTGCAATACCACGACAATAAAGAAGACAGGCGTGAAGTGGAAGAAATTCCGCGTTTCTTCTGATGAGTTTGCGTCTCGGAGGCCTAATTTTAGTCCTACCCTTTTCACTTCCTACCCTTTTTCATATAAGGAAAAGATGGGGAGTGGAAGTGGACTTTCCGGATTTCCTGTATCATCGATTTCGGGCGGCCGCTCACTCGTTCGGCATTTTATAATATAAAAAACCTCATCAAATTTTGCCGATTATTGCTTTTCAAAAAATGGAACTTATAATATGTGTATTGTCATTAAACTGTGTCCAGATCACCGAAGGACGGGCAGCAGCATCCCTAGGTTACGGTGGAACTACTGCGATTGCCAACCCGCCTACTAAGCTTGGCGATTATTGGCACAACCCCCCCAATGAAGGTTACAAAACGACCGCGGCCCCTAGTACCCGGCGGCTCCGTCGTTCCTGGTTACGGTAGCGACCAGGGTAACGTCGGGGCAGGGGGTGCTAAAACTCCCCGGTTTGGATCCGGCTACCACAAACGACGACCCTTGGCCCTGGCAACATTTAACACGCGTACATTGCGGACGGATGGGACGTTATAGGGTTATCATAAGTCCGTAGAGAGGGGGAGGACACGATAATCCTCAAGTCCGGCAACTTGTTCTTCTTCCGGGAAGGACCAACAGTCGCAAGGTGGTGTCGGGTTTATAGTCCACAGGTCCCTCGTGAACAACGTGGTAAACATCGAGATTGTGTCGACTAGGGTGCGGTCCTGATACTCAGAATAACCAAACGGTATTTGCTGAAGGTCATACAGGTCTACGCACCGACTCCGACACACTCCGACGAAGAGGTTGAAACTATGTATGATGATGTCTCACGAGCCATAGTTCAAAAACCTTCTTCACCGTTGTCATGGGGGACTTTAGAGCGAAACTGGGCAAACGGGATGGAGGAGAGCTGCGAGTGGGTAATTTTGGATATGGTCAGCGCAACCACCGGGGCCACTTGCTGGCCGGCTTCATGGAGAAGGAGGGACTCTGATGGGATGATGAACTCCTTTTTCAGGAAGCAAGAGCAAAGAAAGTGGACCTGGATGAGCCCAGACGGTGCCACTAAAAATGAGATAGACTTTATCATGTCGACGCGGAAGGAAATATTTAATGTCTCAGTGATCAATGCGATTAAAACCGGGAGCGATCACCGAATTGTTCGAGGTACATTGAATATCGACGTTAAGCTTGAGCGCAGTCGACTGATAGAATCTACGCTCCGGGCAGCACCGATCAATATTCAAACGACCAGATGAAAACTTTCAGCCTGAACTCCAGAACCGGTTCGATTGCTTAGCGGAGTAGCGTGGATGATATAAATAAAGGGTTCCTGCAAGCTATTCAGGCGGTGGGTACTTAATTCTTTAAGACCCGCCGCAGAAGCTCTTTCAGGAAGCTCTCGGACCACACTCTTGAGCTCATGAAGGAAAAGCGAGACATGACTCTGCACTCTCCAGATGATGCGAAACGGTATAGGTTGCTAAATAGACAGATCTCAACGAGCATCAAACGCGATATACGCCGATTTAAAGCAAATTTTGTTAAAACGGCTATTGAGCAGAATAGAGGCTCCAAAGTGTTCTCCTGATATCTGTCTATTAGGCAAAGCCAACTGTCGAAGCTGAAGACTCAGGAGGGCAGGGTAGTGTCCTCTGGACCTGAGATCTTGAGCGAGGTCGAGAAGTTTTATGGCGTTGCGTAACGCAGAAACCCGTCACGGATCTGACTAAAGACCCAAGAGCCAGATTAATCCGACACTATACCGAAAATATACCGGACGTCAGTCTCGACGAGATTAGTGTGGCCCTCCAACATCTTAAGAACAACAAGGCGCCGGGAGATAACGGAATTTTGAGGGCAACTGGAGAACTGGCACTCAGGGTTCTCCAGAAGCTCTTTAATTCCGTCATTCTCGAGGGATGTAGGCCAAAGGCATGGAGCAGAAGTGTGGTGCTACTGTTCTTCAAGAAGGTCGATAAAGCCCTACTGAAGAACTACAGGCCCATCTCGCTTCTGAGCCATGTCTACAAGTTGTTCTCGAGGGTCATCACGAACCGTCTCGCTTGCAGATTCGACCACTTCTAGCCTCCTGCACAAGCCGGTTTCTGTAGAGGTTTTAGTACCGTAGACCACATTCATACGCTGCGGCAGGTAATACAAATGACCGAGGAGTATAAACTGCCACTATGCTTAGCGTTTGTGGACTACGAGAAAGCCTTCCATTAGGTAAAGACATGGGCGGTACTGCAGTCTCTCCAGAGGTGCCAAATTGACTACCGGTACATCGAAGCGCTAAGGTGCTTGTACGAAAACGCCACTATGTCACTCCAAGTACAGAGTCACGACACGAAACCGATTCAACTACAGCGCGGTGTAAGACTGGGTGACGTAATCTCCCCGAAACTCTTCACCGCCGCGTTAGAAGAGGTCTTCAAAGTCCTTGACTGGAAAGGACCAGGCATCAATATCAACGGCGAGTACATCTACATGTACATCTCGCACCTGCACTTTGCCGATGACATAGTAGTCATGGCTGAGACCATGGAGAGACTCGGTGCAATGCTCGATGACCTCAATAGAGCCTCCGAACGAGTGGGTCTAAAAATGAACATGGATAAGACGAAGGTCATGTCGAATATCCATGTTCAACCCTCTCTAATAACCATTGGAGGCCATACTCTCGAAGTTGTCGACGAATATGTCTACATGGGACAGACTGTCCAGCTAGTTAGGTCCAACTTCGAGAAGGAGGTCAATCGCCGAATCCGACTCGGATGGGCAGCGGGAAGTTGCGAGATATCCTCTCGTCTCAAGACCTACCGCAGTGTTACAAGACTAAAGTCTTTGACGAGTCTGTGTTGCCAGCGATGACTTATGGTACCGAGACGTGGCACTCACTGCGGGCAACATTAGGCGGCTCAAAGTCACTCAAAGGGCAATGGAGAGGGCAATGCTCGGTGTCTCTCTGCGAGATCGCGTCAGAAATGATGCGATCCGCAGCAGAATCCCGACATTGCTGGAAGAATTGCAAACCTTAAGTAGCGATGGGCCGACCACATTGTTTGCAGAACGGGCGGCCGATGGGGCCGAAAAGTCCTAGAGTGGCAGCCGCGGACGGGTCAACGCAGCGTAAGTAGGCCTCCCGCACGATGGACCGATGACCTGGTCAAGGTTGCGGGAGTGTACTGGATGCGAGCGGCACAATACCGGGCATTGTGGCAATCGATGGGGGAGGCCTACATTCAGCAGTGGATAAATCTAGGCTGATTATGATAATGATGATGATTATCGGCTCCTCAACTATTGAATCGTTTATTTGGTGCACAGAACACCAACGAAAGTTAAACTAGTTGTTAACAGTAATGAATCATTAGATAATTAAAAATTAACTGGAAACTTCAGCACACCAGCACAAGAAATCTAAAAATTAAGTACTAACTCCAAATAAGATACATTCCCATCCCTGCTTATAGCAGAGCCATTTTAATAGGTCATATTTGACATCTACCAGCCTAGCTTCATAGTGAACCGAACTGCTTAAATTCATCGATTAAAATGAATGAATCGATTCGTACCTCAAACATGTAATGTGAACCGAATTCAATTGTTAAAAAACTTTTGCAAACTATAACGCCTTCTAGCGGCTAAACGAAGCAACTTTGGATAGAAGTAAGTTGGGTTAAATCGTCATATTTTGAACCAAGGAAACTGTGGTACTCCGTTGTACATGTCGTCCAAAGGATATTTCAAAAGTGCTTGAAAGACGTAGTTGCTGAAAAGCGCTCATCTTAATTTTGAACTAATTCTGCCCGAAAGCTTCCACCGCGTAGAATATAAAAATTTATATGAATATTTTAATTTTGACCGCCCCTTTTTCAATTTATGTTACAAATTAAAGCTCCATACAAAACTTTGGATCCCCATTTAAGAACCTTAGGGGATGAATTTCGGAAAATCCATTCAATTATATCTTTTATTACGAGGTTACGTTATTGAATTTTGATGATGTGTCATATGTGACCTAATAAAATAACCCTGCTATAAACCAGGCGAATTTACTATTGCAAATAAGAGCTTAACTCATTCTATCCAGTATTGTTAAATAACAATAGCTTGTGGCGTAGTTGGTAGCTTCTAGTATTACTTATTTCTATTTTTCTTAATGGTATAAACTTACTAATCTAGTTCAATCTTTCAGGCATGTTGTAATGCGCGTGGTAATTATTATATATTTTTATTTTTATGAGTAATTAATTAATGTTATTAATAACATATTTAAGTTATTAATAACTGTATGCCTTTCACCTTACCTTACTAATTATGAATATGAATGTTTAATTGGATGCATGAATGTTTGTTATAATGTATCTTAACAACAGCTAAACGTATCTAGCTGAAATTTGGTATAATTGTACATAGAACATAGTCTGGAAGAATATACAGCGTGTCCCAAAATTCAAAGATAACACTGTTATGGTGTATAGCCAGCTCGATAACTACACGGGGAAAAATACTAAAAGAAATCCAAGTCTTTTTGTGTAAAAGTTATATTAACTTTTGTAACTTTTCTTATAATTTAATACCCTCCACCATATTATTAGACACTGTGGCTACAAATATGAAGATATTCCTGCAGCTTTTTTTGTGTTAGCTACCTAAGTAACATAGCTATTAATTGAGGTTAAAAATTGAACCAAAACATTCGTAATTTAAGCACAAAAAATAATTAACTTTGACTGTTTTGTTATAATTTTAGAACATTTTAACTTTTGACCAACTCTCACATGCTAGTGTGTAAAAAAATATATGAAGAGTACCATGGCACTAAATTACAAAAGTACGCGCAACTCATCAAGATTCTAAAATGCTTAAACAGTTTAGTTATAAATTTTTTATAGAGAATTTTTGCAGGTTTTGTCAAAGTTTTAAAAAATTGAGGAATATTTGTAGCCGCAGGGTCTAATCATATGGTCGAGGGTATCAAGTTATAAGAAAAGTTACACAAGTTAATATAACTTTTAAACAAAAGGACTTGGATTTTTTTCCTGTGTAGTTATCAATCTGGCTATACACTATTAAGAGTTTTTTTTTAATTCCGCGCGGATGATGTCGCAGCTAGTATCGAAATAAAATAAAACAAAAATATAGAATAACTCGCAATGTACTATAGTTGGGACAATTTAGTAGATGACTTTTGACATTTGATAAAAACTGTATTTTTTGTATTTTACAGGATTCCCTCATGTTCGAAGTAGCAACTTTTCCAAAATTCCAAGTCATAAAACTATGTTGACTCTCGACGAATTAAGATTTTATCAATATTTGTACATATTCAGTTTTGAGGTTAGCGTAAATGTGTATAAGTATTAGTAGTAGTAGATGTAGCAGTAACGGCAATTATTTTCTCTGAAACCTCAATTATTTGCTTCTTGTAGTGCTCGTCTACGTACTAATTGATATTCAATTCTGAAATTTCGAGCATCTAATCCCCGTTTCCTGATGTCCAATTCAATATTTGTCCATTAGTTTGTCCATAGCGTTATTATTTTGATATCTTCCCAAAATACGTTTCCGAACTACGCATCTTAAGTTATTAAATTTTGTTTTTAACGCTCGCGTTTTAGTGGCTCCACAACTGTCTTTGACGTTTATATATCATTATCTGTGAGTTTCTAAAACCAAAATTTCTGTATTAAATATATCGTTATCCCTGTCTTTCGTCTTTGACAAAACAATATATTTTAAATAACAAGTTACACAATGATATCTAACCCTGTGAGAGACACGTTGCTATCGTTTGGTTCCGTTAGAAAATATGTAAAACCTACATTCATATACAAGTTGTCAGCCTCTGATTTTCAGTCCAAATATGATGTTGGGACCTTCAAAAGTAGAGTGAATAGGCACTTACTACGCTAGCGCGTACCATCTTCCGTCCAGGTCTCCACTAACACCAGGTGGGATCGTGGTCAAGCGATGGCTTATCAAACGTAAAAAAAATATATAAGAAATGGCACAATAGGAGGGCGTTAGTGAGCCATCATAATTTAGTTTCACTTAGACCACTGAGCACTCCGGGTCAGATACTCCTGTCGGTATATTAAAGGGTTGAAATTAGCGTAAGCTCTCATTCACATCGGCGTTTTTTAAATCCTGCGTTGAAAAACGTTAAAGTAAAATGAATGCATGTACCTGCTCATAGAATAACTTCGTATTCGTAGTTAAAAAAGCGCCGCGTTCGTCAGGCGGGATGTAAAAAAAATGCACATACAAATGAAGGTCAAAGGGCAGATAAATTTGACCATTTAATCGAAAAATGTCTCAATGGTTGAGGAACCATAATCAGAAACTGCAGCTTTAAAAAAAACTACGTATAGGGTTTTAAAAATAATTTTTAGATTTACTAATCGGTCTAAGGTAATTTCTTGATAAAACTTACCATTCCATTACAAAAGCGGGATCGAATATGATTCACAGATTACAATGGTGATCTGACATTTTTCCATTTTTTTTTTCAGCTCCATGCAAATAAATAGTAGCAGTAAGAAGCTTCACAACTTTTATTTGGCTTTATTTATCTGAGCTAAATATCTTTCCAGTCAATTAATTTCATTTATTCAATAATTTTGACGCTTTAAAAAAGTTATATTTAGAGGTACTTTTAGGCTTCAACGCATGGAATTAATGAATCGAAAAATAATTTCAATAGGCGAATGATGATTATCTACTTTGGAGATAGGATCTAGACATTTTGTTCACAACATAATTACCTAGATAGCCACTGCATTTAATTTATTTATTTATATTTAAAAAAATACATTTCATACGCGTCTATTTGTTATGGTTGAAATCGTTCCAGATTATAAAGTTTCCTGAAACAAGCGCGGTCTTGTGGACAGACAGACAAACATTATAATTATTGTTTTTTTTTATAAGTAACGCTAATACATCATGAGTATGAAATTTCTTTTTTTAATTATATATAGTGCAGAAATTCAATTTTATTCATTGTCTAGATAAATGGCCTAGTTTGAATTATCTTCTATCTATGAATCAATGTTTTATATGAGTCGCCCATGCGTTCGTAAACGACTAGTTGGACAGATTTCGATGGTACGAAGTTCTGGGAACGACAACCAGAAATCGATGCAATTATAAAAGTATATTTTTAAATGAACATGTTGACACTTTTCAGGTGGTAATGTTTGCAGTATTCATGCTATTGCAGTACATATTCTCAGTTGATGTTGACGAACTGGAGATTCCAAAAAAACTAATTCAACAACAACGTGATGCGAAAACTTTACAAAATATTACTGAATAATTTTTTGATTGTGTTTTATTTTATATCAAAGTTACTTTTTTTGCAATTAATAAATATTTTACACCTTTGTTAACTAAAGGTATTGTGATTGTCATATATTAGAGTGTCTCTATGTTAAATAATCTGTAAAATATAAACAGTGAAATTTATAGATATTGTCATTTTAATGGATACTAATGGTAGTGCGTACGTGTACGTGCTGTGACGGTTCACAAGACCACACTCAATCTATTCTAGATGCCACACATATTTTGATAGTAATCGGAATCCTTTATCATTCTTCAACACTAAATAAAGAAATAAATAAAAATAGAGACTTTGACAAGGCGATCATCTATAGTTTGGCTCAAGGACACTGCCCACACTGCCATGCAAATGTATGTCGTCGAAATTACATGGGTTTTGGTGTCCTCTATCGGTTTGCCTTTAAAAACACTTTTTAGGTTGTCACTTTGCCCGTTACAGAGGGCATTGTATAAAATATAATATGACAACATCAATATCATCGGTTTTGTTTTAAATGCGAGACATTTTTTTTTTTCTAAACTATACTTTTCTATAATATACTGACGACTATACTCTTTGCTTAGATCAGTGACAAGAACTCTGGGTTGTCGATTTTTACGTAAAATTGTCAAAAATATATTGATATCGTTGAATCTAATGTTTTGTGATATATAATTTATACAAGAATTTTATATACATTTTAATATTTCAACATGAGTGATAAACTAGGAAAAGAAAAATGGACGATTGAGAGGATGACGATGGTTTGTCCATATTCTAAATAAAGACATTCAAAATATGATATATCAAAAACTGCCCGAACTTTGGTGAATTATATTTGCCATTTATTAATCTTACTAATAATGTAAATGCGAATGTGTAAATGGATGGATGGATGGATAGATAGATGGATGGATAGATGAATGGATGCTTGTTTGAAGGTATGTCCAGAACGGCTACATGGATCTCGCTGAAATTTGGCATAGATATAGACTATAGCCTGGAAGAACACAAAGGCTGCAAATTAAGTTTAATTAAGGCACGCGGACGGGATCGCAAGCGATAGCTATTTTATGACAAAAGTAGAAAAAATTTGTGATCTTATTATGCATTTAATATCATTAGGCAAATCGTAAATTTAGATAACTATAGCACATCGTGGTTAATACTCGAAAAAGATCACAAAACTTTTTTGGCTTTTAACTGGGACTTGTTGGTAAATCTTGACATTTACCAAAGTAAAGGCTTTTAGAATAACATTGGAACTAATTTATTTGTATGTCTGGGATTGTAAACCTGAAGACATGACTCTGTTCACATAGGAAGCAGCAGAAGACTCTACACCGGATTATAACGAGAGTACTGTACCTCCGAAAAATAATCCCGGACGAACATTCAGAGACGGTGTTCGTAAAATAGATCTAATCCTAGTTGTGAAAGATGAAGAAAACATAATAACTGACACCATGAAAAATAATTTTCTTACCAACATTGTTAAAACGGGATTTGAAATTGAATTTGAAAAAGGTGTAGTAAGTATCTTTATCGCTGTTAATATTTTTTAGCTCGCATCATTGGCCATATCCTACGTACTGGTACATGTCTGCGATTTTTTCTTATGTCTGCTTATTTTAGTTGCCGATTAACAAGAAGTTAGTATTTTTTAAAGTGCATTGTCCGAATGATGTTCTGAACAATTTAGGAAATGCTTATGGCATAAAGTGTCTTCAGATTGCTCGAGCCGAACACATTATGTCATACAACGAACGCGAGTGGATAAATTTAATAAGGTATTTGATGTTTTATAAATTAGTTATGTTATTTTTAGCTATGCGAGTGGGTTCAATAAACAGCGGGGTTAGACAAAGCGCATTCGCTTCGAATTAATTCCATAGCGAACTTCAAAAATGTATAGAATCGACAATAACTTTCGATAAGTAACGTGATTGTCGCGCGTCAGTCCCAAACATTTTTGAATTTCGGTATGGAATCGCTTCGAGGCGAATGCACTTTGCCTAACTTCGCAGTAGGGACATCTGAATTATATATAGTAACAATCAACATTTCTCGTATGACGTAGAAAGCAGTACACACAACCATTGCAATACTCGAGCTTGGAGAGAAGCCTCGTAGTTTATATGACCTTGCTGAACGTTCCGTTTGGTGACAGACAAAACTATATAGGGCTGGAAAGGTAAGAAGTTATCCAATATATATAGACTAACAGTGCCCTCGACTTCGTCCGCGTAAAAATCTGTCTATGGGTAGCATTTTAATCATAATACATAACAACAAAACATATTTAACCCACGAAACATTCACATAAATCTCACCTTATTCTTTAAAAAAACTTTCATCCATAAAGTAACTTTGCACCCTTGAGGGTATAATTTCTATAAATATTGAAAATAACGATATTCTTATACTGATTTCGCCCCACAGTTTTAACCCGTCACAACCCTTTCGCGTTAAAAGGTAACCTATGTCCTTCCCCAGGCTCTAGACAATCTGTATACTAAATTTCATTTAAAGCGGTTCTCTAGTTTTTGCGTGAAAGACGGACAGACAGGGAGACAGAGTTACTATCGTATTTATAATATTAGTAAGGATAATCATTCCCTCCGATGCGATTTCATAAGGAACCTCAAAAATGTATAGAACTAACAAGTATAATTAAGTAACGTGATTGTCAAGTATCAGTTCCAAACGTTTTTTAAATTCGTTATGGGGTCGCTTCGGAGCGAATGAACTTTGGCTAGAGAGGCAGGTCATACCGTAATTTTATATCTAAATATATTTTCAGATTAATGAAACGCAATATTGTGATAGATGCCTACGCGTTGCATGACGGACCGTACTTTATAACACAAGACGCTACAAATATTAATGCTCGTCAGGTAATGTCATACACTGTTAAAACAGTTTTATATCGCGTCACGATCTTTATTTTTAATAATACTAGCTTTTACCCGTGACTTCGTCCTCGAGGTATTAAAGAAAAAGCAGGCTGAATAGTAGTACTATGTGGTATTTGAGACTATGTTTATATATTATAACTTAGTCAAATTTTAATAAAATATGTCGAACCTTAGCAAATTTTATCGAGTTAATCTATGAATAAAATGTATCCCATGGGAACTGTATACAATTCCGGGATCATAGTTATCCAATGTGGTTCTACTTTTATTCCAAGCTTCAACGAAATCCGTTTCACAGTTCTGTAGATACCTAGTAACAAACATCCATTAGGTTAGGCTTTTTGTAAATAGAACGGGGCGGTAACTATTTTTCCTAATGTCATCTTTGTGTATTTGTAATGTATGTACCGATAATTTTTTAGGATAATTTTTCGATGTTGATTTTCATTTTTTTAATTCATAAATATGATTCATGAATGGGAAACATTATTTTTTTTCTGGTAAATAAAAAATAACCCTGAATACTATGTGTACGTGTTTGTGCAAAAGTAAAAGAAAACTTTAGTTTCATTTAGGGATTTTTTTTGTTATAGATCCTATTTTACAATTGGGTCGGGTTTAGGAATATATTTACCAGACAGCCTTTAAACGTGGTGCATGAATACTTTGGACCAAAGGTAAGTAAGTAGATATCAACGGGTAACGGCATTCTTTTCAAAATTAGAATAACGCAAAATACTTCAACGGCCGTAAGGAAGAAACAATTACCTACAAAATCACAAGTTTCCAGGGCAACGCAAATATGCAATCTTATAATACAAAGAACATCGACAAAACTCCAGACATCGTAATCAACGGGATTAAATTCTTATTATACATCTTTAAATGAAATGAAAATGTGTTTAAACTCAATGATATATCTGTTCTTTTAATTCTTTGCGGCCGTCAACTTTATTGTTCGCCTTCCACTTCCATAAAGCAATATCTCAGTATTATTATAAAGGATGTAATTCACTAATCATATTTCATGTTGTCCAGGTTGCAATGTACTTCGTTTATTTTGGACTTTACAATATATTTCTGGCGATTGCGTCCATAGGAGCTCTAACGACACTCTTCTTAGCTGTATTTCTAAATGAAAATTACATGGATTTGAGGTAATTTCTTAGCCTACATGTATTAGTATCGCTGCTAAGACGTAACGTAATTTAAATATATCTTTTTTAATCAACTTCATAAAATAGGTAGTTCTAAAATATTTTTTTCATATCAATTCTTGATAAAGATGATTTTTGAATATTTCAATTTGTGCTAGTTATCCGTTGTTTTTTTTTTAATCTAAAATAACATTAAAAAGATTCAATTTACTTTTCAGAACAGAGATATGTAATCGGCAAAACGAATCAATTTGCTTTGATTGCATGCCTATTACGAATGGTTTAAGGTGTTACTATGACACTATTGATGCCTTTTGTTATTATTATAAAATAAATGTCTTAATAGATAATAAGTATGCACCATATTTCGCGGCATTTATCCTTCTCTGGGGTAAGTGTTATTTATATTCACCACAGTTACAATATGAAATTAGTACATTAAGTTAGTAATGTCGACACTTTGTTGTTTGGTGAACTTCAATATATTATTAGAGAAGTTGCTGTTTGTAGGTATGTGTTTCACATCGTACTGGTATGGAAGAGAAAAATATTTTAATTGGATATGGGAAGCGCGTAATAAATTCTTCAACAGAAAACTAATAAGGTACAATATGTACATACATGAGTAATATTTAATAGGGTGTACTAAGAGGTATTTAGTAAGTAATTTCGTTACTAAATAGTACAAATGTAATAAATATTATATAATATATAGAAATTAAATAAACCTATTTATTATGTGGATACCATAAACAACTTTATACGCCTTGAGGGTCATAACCTAATGAGGAGATTAGAAACCTTGTATTATAGTAGGAAAGAAATCCGTAATTAAATAATAATAGAAATTTATTATCATTGAACATATAGCTCGATTATGTAAGGAATGCAAGACTAGCTAAGTCGTTTATTTTCCTTTTTTATTTTCAGACCTGAATTTGAGCTTAATGTGGACACATCGCCAAAATCAAATAAAACAGGCATTGTCGTTAGTAAACATCGCGATTATAAAATTAAAACCTTATTATGTTATATAGCTGTCGTAAGTATGTTAATTATTGTTAATTTTGTACATTCTTTTTAGTTGTATCTGTGAGGGAATAAAGGCTTTGAGAGAGTCTACGACCTTAATTATTATTGGATGAGCTTCAATTGCTTAGTTTTTTTTTAATTCTATACATAAGAATTTGGCCAGAGCCAGGCCCGTGCTCCTAAAATGTTTTGTTTTTACGGAACTTTTCTTTCAACTAGCCCAATAATTGGCTGCGTTTAAATCACTTACACATCGTTACGCTTTTATGGTTAACCTCTAATTGCACTTGGGAACAAAATATATGAGAATAATAATTTAATTTAACCCACATACATAAAACGTACATACTCGTATATGCAATAAACACTACCCCGAGTTAGTCGGCTGAGAATAATCGAATTTACATATTTTTTTTTATAATGTCTAAATAATATTGGAGTTACAATCTAATTTTTTTTATGGTTGCATATTCTAATTAATAATTCCCCTCAGTCAGTTTGGTAATAAAAAAAATTTTTTCAACAGATTTTATTGGATGCATTTATTTTTGTTGTCTTTGCGCGTCGACCTAAGAATTATTTTTGGTATGGCGTAAACGGACTTATTATAAGAGCGATAGTTGTGACGATTGGTTTCGTCATAGTTCTCTTGATCATTGACTTTGTAAGTTTATACTTTTTTTTATATAAAGTGGCAAACGAGCGAACGGCTTCCTGAAAATGCTGAAATAGCGAAGCGACCGTTGCCCATAGACATACGCAATTGCATATTATTTTGCCTTTAATCAACGGAGGAGGGGATACACAGGACGAGAATATTTTACCATGCCATGCATCTTCTCATCCCGAAAATCCACTTTCACTTTCCATCCTTTCCTAATAAGTAAAAGGGTGAGAAATGAATTTAGGCCTCCGGGGCGCACATTTTTCAGACGAAACGCGGAATTGCTTCCACTTCACTCCTTTCTTTTGTGTGGTCGTGGTATTATGTTATATATAATTATTGTAATCTAAGGCCCTTCGTACGCAAAGAAACATAAATCTTAGAAACCCAGCAATTAGTCGCTATGCTACCCACGCAATACAATGTTATGGAGGTTAGTAAACAGTGCACGTCTCCTATCCTATATATTTCTATCATCGCCATAGACAGTCGCTCACAACCTGTTTGTGAAGATCGACGTTAAAAAAGTCGCTAAAATTTTATTTTATAATAAATTTTTATAATTTACCTATTAGAGCAACTTTCAGTGTTCTCTAATGTGAGCCTTCTTCTTCTTTCTTCTTCTTCTTCACCGACTTCAAAAAGGACGTTATTAATACGTCACATGTGCTTTTTTTCTTTTATTCCATACGATTTCCCATTTTCCCCTTCCCTTCTATCAAATATCATATTTTTGTGGTTATAAAATCGTCGTGCCGTATAAATGACTCATCATTTTACCTCTTTACCACTTTTAATGAAATAGTTGAATTTTCGAAACTACGTGAGGGTAAATCTCTTTCATTGTAACAAAAAAAATTATTTCTATTTCACAGATTTATGGCAAGGTTGCGAGTTATATTGTTCGAATGGAAAATCATAAATCCTATGCATCGTGCAGTCGCTCCCTTGCAAAACAGCAGTATATAATGTGTTTGCCTGTGCCTTTGATGGTACTTTTCAGTTATGGATATCATCCGGTAAATATTTATTTTTAATTAATTTCAAAATTCCAAATTTGATTAATTAGACTCTTATATTATCTTATTAGTTTTAGTATAACACCGAGACTTGATAGTTCATAGTCTACGTTATGTGCGTACGGTCCGACACAATGACATCCGTCCATTAAGTATAACATAAATATTTATACAAAATTAATTCGATATCTCGTAGGCGCCAGTTGTCAAACTAATTTATCTTAAATAGACGCACTATAACATTTATCATTATAATAATGAAAAGTATTAATTTTAAAAAATATATAATTTTGCATAAATTCATGATATGTACATTTTTCGAACTATGCATAAAATGTTAGTTTAACCAATCTAGCTAAGATTACCGCTTATAAACCACTAGCTATTATCCGCGACTCCGTCCGCACGGAATTAAAAAAAAAAACTTAACAAGAAACCTATGTGTTCGTTCAGTTTCAGACGATGTTCTCCATGTGTGCCGAATTTAATCAAAATCCGTTGAGCCATTCCGGAGATAACTTCAAACAAACCTCCATCCATCCATCGAAACTTTCGCATTTATAATATAATATTAGTATGAATAGTTCAGTAGTTTGTTTCCACTACTGGCTACATCGCTTGTTTTTAGATGTTTCTTATTAAACCTACATAGTTACTAGCTTGAAGAGGAAACAAAAGAAATTTTGAACAGTTATTATCATTTATAGAATTTTAATAAAACAATATAGCAAAAATTTAACTACTTTGTCTTATAACCAAACGATTCAAGGATCCGAGTTAAAATTTGTCCAATGTAGATAAAATGTGTTTGAGGCATTACAATAACAAATTGCACACTCGAGGACTATACGTATTTGTTCACGCGCCATGCGCTGTCTGGACTTCTCTGTGGATGCCGAACGTTATACTGTTCTTTTTAATTTCACAGGCAGTTTTTGATTTTGAAATGCAGCGCGGTTATAGAAGAGATGGCTACTATCTACAAGATCATACGTGCATGATGACGTCATGTGGCACCGAGCTTTTCGTTGCATTTTCACTGGTACTAGTTCTAAGATACGTCATATTCAAAAAATTGTCCCTTTATTCAAGGTAAGATAATAACTGTGAAAATTATTGTTACTTATTATCCAAATTACATTGAGATGTTTATAAGAATTAATGTTATAATAATTTCAGTGTAACTGATTATAATCAACGTGCGATAGTCGAAACCGTTCCGTGCTGGGAGAGAGAATTTGTTTTACCTCGATTTGATGAAAATATCTTAGCAAACAAAATGACGATTCTTGGTAAATTTTAAAAAACACTTTATCAATATTTTCGTTTCGTTCATTCTTTTCATTTTGGTAATACTTAATATAATTAATTATACATTTATCGTGTCGGATGCTAATTATAGTTCTCTCCTTTTCTTCTTCCACCATATCCTTCCTCCTAATAATAAAACAATCATTTTCGTGACCTCTGTTTCTTCTCTGTTCTGCTAAGCCACCAGACCGACAGGTAGTTTTTGAGTTACCCATATGTATGAATTAATCATCTTAGTATTTCGATATAGTGTTACAGTTTCTTACCATCTATTTTACAGTTTATCGGAGGAGGATACAACTGTCCTCTCCGCCGCTCCCCTCCCCTGGCTACGCTCATGAAAGAATTGACACATAACAAATCATAATCTTTAATACCTAGACAAAACGGGTTTATTGGTCGCTCGTTCGCCACCTTATATTATTTAATTAATTTTGTCGTGACATTTTAGCAATCGTTAAATGGGATTTAAATTATAACGGCGATCTGTCGGTAACGTACAACCTTCGTGACGCTCTATAAAAGTGCCCCACAAGATGGATGTCCGTTTGACATTGACAGCTCAATCCTATTACAAGATTCAAATGGTACTCAATCGATGATCGCGCCGTAATATATAATGTATATATATATATAAACTTTTGATTTCAGTAATTCAGTTAACCTTAATCATGTCCTTTGGTTTTGGGTGTCCGCCCGCCATATTGATTGTATTGTTCTTCAACATGTACTACATGAGGTTAATATTATTTATATTTAATTCTGTATTACTTAAGGAAATGGCTTTGCGAATATCGAGCTAGTGAACGAAATGAGACAACAGATTATTCGTTTACAAGTACAATATATGTTATGTGATCTTAGTTTATTCAGAGGACTTACAGTCATTCATTCCTAAAATACGAAGAACTTCAACTACACTGGTTATGGCGATAACCACCCGATTAACATTATGTTTTATCTGTCTGTCCGGCTAGTACATTGGTATGATCAGTTGCACAAATAAGCCGGTGCAATACTACGACCACACAGACAGGCGACAAGTAATAGCATTTTCGCGTGTCATCTGACGAGTTTGCATGCCGGACGCCTAATTTTAGTCCCCCTCCTCTTCCCATCCTTTTGTTATAAAGTAAATAATGGGAAGGGATATTGGATTTGACGGATGGGGACGCATATGAATAGGAAATATCCTTCGGGGCCTCCCCTCCTCCGTCGATTAAAGACAGGCAACGAATCTGCAATTGCGGATGTCTATGGGCAGCGATCATTTCGTTATTTCGGCGAATTCAAGTGGCCGTTTGCTTCTCTGCTACGTTATGATATTGAAAAACTTCCACATTTGTTCAGGGTAATCTCTGAAACGGGCATTAGCTATTTATGCATATCAATGATTCTTGCCGAGAGCAAGCATAGTCGTCTACCCGACTTACTTAACTCGAGTTAATTACACACAAATTTCTGTTTCAGGCGTGATGCAGAATTATGTACACTTTACTATCGAAGACCTCTGCTTCTGAAAAATAATTCCTTTGACATATGGACTAAAATTTTGAAACTTATGGTTTATTTAGCCATCGTTGTAAACGTGGGTATTGTACTATTTCAACCAGTTATAGTTTAGGTTATAGTTATAATTTATATTTTTGGTTTGGATCGACGTAAATAAAATTCATACTAGATATTCTTAAAGCTCATTTATACGAAGGAAGTTTCCCGCTTGTTTTGGTATTTTTATCACAAGCAATAATTTTTATTTACGAGTATATACAAGATTCGCAAGTCATTTATTTGCTTTCCATTATATAATTTAGTATAATTTTCAGGTTGTGTCATTCGTATGCTCCACAGATACTATCGAACTATATTTACGTGAGCAAAGAAAGGCAACCGGTAATACACTTGCTCAATATTTAGACCTTTATTTTTACAAGTATCCACTGGGCGTAAGTTTATTTAATTATCTAGTAATCAGAAATTTTAAAATGCTAAAAATATGAAAAGATCTCGGCGATGTTTTAAACACTGACAAATGATTTTTTCTGATGCGACTGCGTTTTTTGATTTATTGGTAGTCACAGATACCTGAAGTGTGTGAAACGTATTTATTTTAAATCATGTATAGACGCCACGGAAACGATCTAACTTTCTAATTTTAATCAAACAAAAGCGTACACAAAGAAACCAAGGTCTGAAAATGGCAGATGCGATTCCCTACCCTATAGGTTAGAGAAGACGATGTACAAAATAAGTCTTTTCCCTGTCCTTTACTTGACCGCCAAATCTGCTTCTCTTTTCTATCCTTGCCCAGTAGTCCTCTTACCTTTCGACCGACCTTCTCTTATATTTTTATTTTATATCATAATGTGGCAAACGAGCGGCCACCTGAAATCGCTAAAAATAGCGAAGTGACCGTTGCCCATAGACTTACGCAATTGCATATGCGTTGCCTACCTTTAATTGACGGAGGAGAGGATGCTCAGAAAGAAAATATCTCTCTCTTTCCATGCATCCTCTCATCCGGAAAGTCCACTTCCACTACCCATCCTTTCCTTATAAGAAAAAGGGTGGGAAGGGAAAGAGGACTACATTAGGCCTCCGGAACGCACACTCATCAGACGAAAAGCCGATTTGCTTTCGCTTCACGCCTGTCTTCTGTGTGATCATGGTATTTCACCGGGCGAGCCGGACCAATTTGTGAGAAGATGTTAAAGCGGGCACTACCACTGTTAAAATGTTATTGTTATGTTAAATAATGATGAATTACCAATGTAAGAATGTTATGGATCATGAAAGGGCCGGAAATAAGAGACTACTTACCTTTTACCTTTGGAAATAAGGGCTTAAATCCCCTACCTAGTCGATGCTGCTAAAAACGATTCTTGGCCTAACCGAAAAATTTATTTCTATTATTATTTTGTTAATGATAAAATTTATTCAACTATGGTTAATATTTTTCTTTTTCAAACTTTCAGGGTGGCGTGATGTGTTATACGCGTAGTAATTTTTTTTATTAACATTTTTTATGTAAAATAGTTGTGTAGCAACAATAAGTAACTTAGTTGTGATAATTGGAATATTAACACCATTACCCATACATATGTGAAAATCTGAAAAGTCCCCAACGATCCCGTATGCTCTATGCCATTAATAGCGAACCAAGGAAAGCTCCTTTAGATAATCGAAGAAATGTAAAAATAGATAAACTACTTTGAAATATTAAGATGCTTACAATCTCTATAGATCGAGATAGATATATCTCAATAGTACTTTTTAGTTTTTCATTAAACAACTTGGACTACCAGTTGATTAGCATTCACTTTGGAATTCAAGAATTTTCACTATAGTGTCTCTATTTAACATAGATTAGTTTGACAATTCTTTTGACTTATAACTAGTTAAGGGTTGAGTAAAATCGATTAATAAATATCCATAGAACTTACAATCGAAAATTTCGTGAATGTAGTTTTTAAATTATAATATACGCCAACTTGATTCTTTAAAACTACGTAGAAAAATATAATATTTAATAAAAAATTGACACATTATACTAGTCAACCTTAGATCTAGCCTAGCGATAGCTTTAGATATAGACTGGCGATGTCCGTGAAAACTTTATGGTACAATTTTAGTATTTTTGGTAGTTGGGCCTTTATATTAACGCATGCATCGCAGATAAACTTTGGTTTAACGTTTTTTTTCAGCATACATACATCTATCTCGGTATAGTAGGGTTGATAGGGATGCATTGACTAACGACGAATTGAAGACTTATCAATATATGTACATAGTTATTTTTGAGGTTAGCGTATTTGATTTGTTTATCTATCTTACCAATGTTATAAATGCCAATATTTACATGGACGGATGATGGATAGATAAAATATAGAAGTAAATTATAATGTTATGTCATACTTCCTAATTAAAAATACTCGAAAATATCAAGAAAAGAAATAGCAATGAAAAAATGTAATGGCGAGTGAGATTCGAACTAGTTGGTTTCACCATTTTAACCGACTTTTTAGAATTTCATTTCTTGCAAATACTATATGTATGTGTTGTGTGCTGATGGATGACACTATGGGAAATAAGGCGCATCGAAAGACACCTCACTTGTCAAAGTCAGTTTTGTTGTATAGGCTCTAGTTCATCACAATGGAATTTACATGCATAAACTCCGAAACAATAAACCAAACTTAAATAATGCGAAAAAATTGCCATCTTTATCAGTCGGGCAAAAACTCGCTGGATGTATCCGCCCTCCACGCAATTTGCAAAGTTCTTGAAATGCAAAAAATACTTATATACTTATACCAAGATTCCATAATAATGTTCAATTCAATTTTTTACTGCGTAAGATAAATTGTTTTATGTAATAAATATAAAAATTTACAGATTCTCATGGCTGCAATATTCTTAATATTGCAATATATATTTTCAATTGACGTTGACGAAAAGGAAATACCTAAAAAACGAGAGCGAGAAAATTATGACGAATCAAGATCAAATTCTGGCACATAAGATACTTGAATAGAGAAATATACCTATCTTCTCATAATTATTGTTAAAATTGTAAAAATTCAATATTAAAGGTTTTAATCATAATTTTACTTTTACTTTTTCTTTTTTCTTTTGAGGACATTAACGCCAATGCACGCATCACGGGAACTCAACTAAAATTGATGTTCAGCTCACGTTTTACATGTGTGGTCACAGATTTTTGAACCGGCTCGCAGCTCAGCTCAATCTGTATCTACATAGAGTTATGACTTGCGTTTCGTTTAGAGTTGCGAATTGCGAGTCATAATTCGCAGCTCCTTGGTTCACAGTTCACATAGTCATATTATATCGCGCCACGGCAGCGTGAGCGCGAGAGTTGGTGAGCCGCAGTTCAACGCTTCAAGTGATCTGAACTTTGGAACCAGTTCAGAGTTAGACTTACTCGTTAGCATTTGGGTATAAAAGGTAGAAAAATGAGGCAACACTGGTTTTCCGGCATGTTATCCCGTTTTGTACAAAGAGTATATAAAATTTTAATTTTTATATAAAATTTTGTAATTTAAATATATATATATATATAATAAATTTTGTAATTTAATGTAAAATTTTGTAAATTTTGTAATAAATAATTTTTATATAAAATTTTGGTTTTGTATGTCAATTCAATTGACAAGAAAAGACACTTGACACTTGTCACTTGACAGAACTAGAATTTCTATTTGTGTCGTGTACCGCAGATTTGTCCGTTGTACTTCTTTTCATTCGACAAAATTCATATAAATTTTAGAAATTGTCTCAAGAATAACGAATTTATATATGTTCAAGATAAACTACAAATACTTCACTAAAAAATATTTTACAATTTATCCATACCATGTCTCATGTCACAGATATAAAAGTTCTTTTTTCTAGGTTGTTTTCTTTTAAAAATGGGTAAGCGAACGCTTTAATATCGTATTATGTTTCATCGTATAAATTATATTGTACAGATAAGAAAAAATCAATAGTTTGATTACTTGTCATCCTCAACTTCCATTTTTTCATCACATACAATAATTTTACCATAGAAGCCGGTGTGTGAGACGCCTTGAAAGTGTCCAAGTTATTTATTTAAATACCTCAAGAACACTTTGTAAGTGTTTATTCATATGGAAATCATGCCTATCTTTTGTATAGCCTTGCTATTTTGTAAATTAAACCTTTGTTCAGTGGCTTTAAAAATGAAAATATTAAAATGAAATTCAATCACATTTTTGCTACCGTCCGTGCAATCTCAGTCAATTTCATTTTCATGGTATATAGCAATCAATATTTATTGATTCCAGATTAAGTAGTGTCAGATTTAACAAGAGGCATTTTAGTCAAGATTCTGATAGAGCAAGACAAGTTACACCATTGCCACCATTATCAGAGCCCGTGCCAAATTTACCACCAATAGTATACTCATCGGCAAAATCTGAAGATGCTCTTACAGAAGTTACAGTTTTGAACAATGGTTTAAGGGTTGCATCAGAAAAGAAATTTGGACAATTTTGTACTGCTGGAGGTTAAATACTTTATTCTTATATCTTTTTAATTTAATTTTTCTGTGGCTGGGAAATTTTAAAACTGGTACTTTGATTTCATACAATTATAAATAGTTGAATTCAATTTTGTTCAAACAATCAATTTTGTACAAAGTTTCATTAAATTGAAGATACAAACATGTCTGTTTTAAATAAGTCTGATTACAGCCTTATAAAGATAAATTTTTGATTGTTATAATTTGTCATTTTCATTGAATTTGATATAGTAGAAGCATTATTCAAAGTTTTTCAATTCTTTCAGTGGTAATTGATTCTGGGCCAAGATATGAAGTTGCTTATCCAAGTGGCATTTGTCATTTCCTTGAAAAATTAAGTTTTGGTGTAAGTACTTCATGGCTTATACAAATAGTATTAACCATTTTATTAAACAAAACAAGGTGTAATTTTCACTACATTTATTCTCGTAAATAACAACTACAGTGGTGACATAATAAGTGAGAGTCCAAGGTTATTAGGTTATATATATATATATATATATAATGTCCATCAGGAGAGATCAATGACTCACTTACAGAGGTTACTCACTTATCCAGGTCCGATTATATTTATTATCAAGAAAACCTCTTGATAATAAATATTATCGGATTCAATATTTTCAGATACAGTATTTTATGCATAAATAATGTTACATGTGAAATTTTAGGCAACTCATAAATTCCCTACAAGAGATGTGATGCTGAGGGAATTGGAGAGACATGGTGGCATTTGTGACTGTCAGGGTTCTCGTGACACTACAGTTTACGCCACCAGCGCAGATTCCAGAGGACTTGAAGCTATTACTCAGGTATGTTATTTAAGTACTTTTAAATTTTAGTCATAATACAAATGCAATTTTACTTTTATCAGGCTGTAATCTGACTTGATTGTTTGTATTATTGATTTAATAACGTTCAAAGTAAATCCATAGATAATTCAATGACATTGAAATCAATATATGACAAGAAGTTTACAATAGTTGGTGTCTATATACATTACACATTATTCCTTTAGGTTTTGGCAGAAGTGACTTTGAGACCACAGTTATCTACTGATGAGGTGGAGGCAGCCAGACAAGCGGTCGCATTTGAACTTGAAACACTCTCTATGCGGCCAGAGCAAGAAACTATTTTAATGGATATGATTCATGCGGTATGTATTTTTTTTATCAAATTAATAATACTTTAATAAATAAAATAATAAATATAAAGTAAATGTCAAATAAAGATAAATGACATGTTAGATTTTTAGTAAATGTGTTTTGCTTATTTTGAGCAAATCTGTTTGCATTTTTCTTTCTTTTTCACTCTTACTTTTCTGCGCTACTCTGCTCCAGGTCACACCTGTTGCACTCCTAATGTAGTTGTCCCACGTTTTCAGTGGTTTGCTTGTCTTCCTTTCTCCGTTTCTGTGGTACCACTGAATCGTTTTTGCTCCATTTGTCCAGTCCTCTTATTTTGTGTCCAGCTCATCTCAGAGTGAGCCATCTGATCTTGGAAGCTATGTCTATAACTCTTGTCTTGCTCCGGATGGTATGGTTGCTTACTTTTACTTCTTTATTAGCAACATACTCTATTGTGTGCTGTTTTGGTTGTATTCTGAGTATTGCTCTTTTTATAACAGGCAGCATATAAAGGCAATACACTGGGGCTGCCGAAGATATGTCCTGTAGAAAATGTTCACAAAATAGACAGAGGCACTATTATTAATTATTTGAAGAACCATTACACCCCTGACAGAATGGTTGTTGCCGCTGTTGGAGTAAGTATTCTTTTGTATTTTGTACAAGTAGTCGCCCGTGACTTCGTCCGCGCGGAATAAAAATAATTTAATTGTTTATGTGTTATTCTAGACTATGTTCTACATCTATTCCATATTTCATCAAGATATAACAAACATCTATCTATACATCCAAAATGTTAATAATTTTATTTAAATCACCTTATTTTAGTTTAATTCAATTTACAACAATTCACAAAGGAGCATTAACATTAAACCCCTTCCAGATGTTTTAGGAGATATTTTAAAACCACTTAAAATAATATGATATTTTTAAACACAAAAACAAACACAACAGTGATCAGAGATCTTATCTTATTAATATTATAAATTCGAATGTTTGGATGGATGGATGTTTATTTGAAGGTATACGGCTGAATGGATTTTGATGAAATTTGGCACACATGTAGAATATAGTCTGGAAGAACACATAGCCTATATGTTTTTTTTCTTATCCGCGCGGTCGGAATCGCGGGCGACAGCTAGTACAGTTAATAAAATTGGAAAGTCTGTGTGTTGTATAAAAAAATGTTATATATTTACATGATTTGTCGGAAAATGGTACCAAGTGTATATACCATACAACCTGTATGAGATTTTGTTGTGTGTCAGTCACATTTCTTACTTATTTATTTAATTATTATAAATAAGGGAAGAGTTTGTTTTATTTTATTTTTATTTTAATTATTTGCAGGTAGAGCATGGGCCATTTGTTGAATATGTGCAAAAATATTTTGTAGATATGAAACCGATGTGGAATTTGGAAGATAATAATTTGATCAAACCAAACGTTGACAAATCAGCTGCTCAATACACGGGAGGTATTGTACAGGTAATGGATATTTTTTTTAGTAACCTTTTCTGCACATAAAACTATTTCTTACATAATAGAACATCACATTTTTTTATATTATAAGGTGTCAAGCAAGCGGCCATCAGAATCCGATATTTTAAGTTTGACTTGCCTCTATTTGTTAGTTCGGCTTTCAATAGAAACGAATGATACTTATATACTTGTACTAGCTGTCGCCCGCGACTCCGTCCGCATGGGATTAAAACTAGATGTTGGCCGATTCTCAGACCTACTACTCAATATGCTCACAAAATTTCATGAGAATCGGTCAAGAAGTTTCGGAGGAATATGGGAACGAAAATTGTGACACGAGAATTTTATATATAAGATTTTTAATAGACTTCGATAAGGAGGAGGTTATAAATTTTTCTGTTTTTTTTTTTAAATATATAATAACGTGTGTATATTTAGTTTATTTTTATAATGGTTTGTTTGTTTTAGGAGGAATGCGAAATCCCTTTGTACCCCGGCTCGGATCTGCCGGAATTATCTCATGTTGTTATTGGAATTGAGAGTAAGTACTTACGTATTCGTCGTTACAGGGTCGTCGGTGGCTCAGGGGTTTCAACATTTGACGTGTAATCTACATGTCCTGGGTTCGAATCCCGCCATGTACCAATGTGATTTCCGATTTACATATGTACATTTATTCGACGTTTTTACGGTTATTACGTTGAAGGAAAACATCGTGATGCAACCTGCACATATCTGCGAAGAAATTCTAAGAGATGTGTGAAGTCAACCAACCCGCACTGGGCCAGCGTGGTTGACTATGGCCTAGTCACCCTTAACTTAGGGTAGGCTCCGAGCCCCTCAGTGGGGACGTATAGTGAGCTGATGATGATGAATATAATCTGTGTAATCATAATAATAGGATCAAATGTCATTTGTATTAA